GAGTAATGACATTTGCCTAAGTCATTTTAGAAACATTTTAAAAAGTAGGCAAAGCCAAACCTCTTTGGATAGATATTTTACCAAGCGACCTCTATCCAGTGAAAGTGCTGGTGGAAGTAAAGGAAAGAAAGCAAAAAGCAGTGAATAAAAATTAATATATATACCTGTCTATTTGTGCCATAAATATATATATATATATAACAACACTAAATTTTTTATCTTTTCTAAGTTATTGTTACATTATATTATGTAAGTTAAGTTTTAGTATCATTTCCCTTCTCTCTCTCTTCTGCCACCAGTTTACACCTCCACCATCATCTATCCTCAAAGTTAAAGTGCAAATAAAACTACATTTTTTTAAATCAATTATTATTATATTATGCTTATTTATACATTTACAACTACAAAATGCATTTTTCAGTGTTTTCCTTACTATAGTTTTTTTTTTTTTTTAATGTACTGCTTTAGTTTTAATTTGAGTGTGTTTTTCATGTTGGAACGAATTATTTGGTTTTACATGTAATCATACGGGGAAAAATGGTTCACCTTACGACATTTTCATGATACGATCTCAGTTTTGGAATGGATTAATTTCGTATCCTGAGGTACCACTGTATATGCAAGGCCTATGTAAGTGATAAGATTGTTAGGTTGGTGAAATTTATATCAATTAACATCTTGTTATTAGAAGATTAATTTATATAAATTTTATTAATAATATCAAAATTTACCACCAAAAAAAGGTCATTATTATAAATATGCTACTCTCCATACTCCTAAAATGATTATGAAATAAGGAATATTTAATAATATATTTTTATTTAAAAAAATAATTAGCAATACTGAAAAATATTGGAAAATAAAAAATAACAGATTACTTGTACTTAAAGTGATTGAAATTTATGTATGTACTGAAATAATGAAGTAATTTATTAAAATGATATTTGATTATGATAACATGATTAGTGAATGAACAGTACTGTATTCCGTTGTATTAACTGTATTACAATTTGTAAACCATCTGTCTAATTCAGTAGCTATTAATGTCAAAAATCAATATTGATTCTGTCTTGAATTTCACTATTCAGTAGAATCTCATTTTAACAAATCGCAGAACAACAGATTTTTCAGAATAATGGGTTTTTTCTCAAGGTGCTGCCAAATAAATTAATTTTACCTCTTTTTAGTGGATCCATAACTTAGAATAATGGAATTTTTTTTCTGGTTCCATTTCAATAAATATTGTATTTTTTTCAACATTTAATTAATAAGTGGATGTTTCTGGATACTGAATTCAAAAAAGTACAGTAAGACCTTGCTTAACGCTGATTCAATATAATGCTGTCTGCTCGAAGCCTAAAAAAAGCTTAAAATTTACACCAATTTAAATTATCGTGGAATTTCATTGATTCGTATATAATACAATTATTTGCAAACACAAACCAATCAGCAAAAGGTGGCAAAAAGGTTACTTTCCTTAGATGTATGTTTGTTTGGGTCAATTTTGGAAAAAATATAATATCATAGATGCCATAGGAAATATCGACTTCGCTTGGCAAGAATTAACTGATAAATGCATGAATGGGGCATGGAAGAAGTTATTGCTGAAGGTATCCAAGAATTCTCAATGAGAAGAGCCTATTGTTGATATGGCAGGACTAGGGAAATGTAGGCGAGCAGGATATTGAAAAGTTACAGCAGGTTTCTGGTTAGAGCCTTACCAACGATGACCTTCAAGAACTGGCAGAACATGGAATTCATGTGGAACTGGAAAATAGAGATTCTGAAAACGAAGAACCCAAAAAATTTCTCTACAAATTTCCTTAGTAAAAGTTTGGCAAGATAACTGAAATCATTGATCACATTGTAGCAAATGATCCAGATTTTGAAAGGAGTGCAAAAGCAAAACAAGGCGTTTTGGATGTGATCTTCTGCTACCGACATTTGCATAAGGAAAGAAAAAAGTGATAAATGAAACTTTACGACTTTATTGCAAAAGAACAAGAATTTCAGAAAAGTCAGGACCTTTGTCATAAAAAATGAATTTTACATTTCTGTGTGCATATGTTTATATGTTATTTAACATATATTATTATATAAATTAATATAAAAATAACTTAAAATTAAAGTAAAATTTGTTAATTTTTGGTCGCGTGTTCCCCTATCCCTATTTACTCTGTTAAAATGACCTCATATAATGCTGTTTTGCTTAGTGCTTTGTTTTCTAGGAATGCATCCCCTGCATTAAGTGGGGTCTTACTGTACATTGCATGCTATGCAAACTAAACACACAATCATCACAGTTCTTACTGCTAACATTGTAGCCGCATTAATGCCCTCCTGTAGCACGTTGATTAGTGGAAGGAAACTACTTCTGGCTTAACACTTCCAGATATACATGTGTATGCAATTTATGGACAGCACCTTTGGGGCTGCCCATAAATGACATCCACACTGGAATGGAGGGAAGGGGTTGAACTTTAATGGACGTCTGTTTTATTTCATTAAATTTTATACAGTTTATGCATTTTATTATTCATAAAATGATAAAGGTTTTCAGATGGACTGAGTTTTGTTGGATGCTCGAAGAGGAGAGAGGTTACAGAAACTTGGACAAACTGGAACAATGGGGAGGAGTAAAAATTTTAAGAAAAATGCAGACAGACATAATTTATGGACAGCCCCTTTGTTGTAGACAAGTGTTTGGGAATATCACACCTTGAAATTGTGTTTGTGTAAAACACAGTAACATTTTGTACTGATAATGTGACCAAAAGAAGTCCAGAAATGTGTCATCAAAGCAAACCAAGATGGTCAAGTTTTTTAACATATTACAAAGTGCTAATGATCATAAGTACTTTGTTGCTTTTTGCTTATAATAGATACAGTTTCCGTCAGCTTTGTTATGGTATAATGTATGATTTTGTAATTTATGTATTTATATAAAATAAAGGATAGAAATCTCACAAGACTGAATAATTTCTAGTACAGGGGTTTTTTTATGTAGGGGTTTAAAAATCAAAAATGTTTTCCAAATAATAGATATTATCCTGGGAGTATGAGAAATCTGCTGTTTGCACTATAACAGATTTTTGGAACAACAGATGATTTTGGCACCCCGATCAATTTGTTAAAATGAGATTCTTCTGTATAAAATTTCTACTTGGCATCATTTATTTCAAACTTTTTAAGTAAAAATATATGAACCTAATCAATATTTGTCCTTTTCAAGACATATAAATATAAAATGATATAACATTAATTCATTGAATTACTGTGTAAATATATTGTGTATAAATTGACTTCTAAGTCTGAAAAAAATCTTTCCAAAAATATATAAGTTGAGTTATATGATGGATATAAAAGATGAACCTTTGCTACAGAAATGGTAAACAAGCAGAACAGTGCTTGAAAGAAGTTCTATGCATCACTTAATGTAACTCCTGTAAGTTGTTGAAAATATCTGTAGTTTGTGTTTGGTGAACTTATTTGATATAGAGAATAATATAAAAATAAACATTCAATAAAAATGAGCAAATATATCTGTACCATGTACTGCTTCCAATAGCTGATATCAACTGTATATCACTGATGAAAATTGTAGAACATGAGAAAGACAGCCTACTACATTGTTTTATTATCAAATATCATAGGATATAGTATTACCATTGTACTAATGTTGAGTATACTATTAATATTTTATTGGAAGTGCTGATTTTGGCTCAGATGTATTTACCAGTATATACAATGGATTTCTTACCAAGATAATTTATGTAAAATTTTTAATGGTAGCTTGGTATACATGCAGCTTATATCCCATATTCCTTTTTGTAAGAGCAATATATTATTATTGAAAGGTATTCAATTAGAATTTTTATGAATGTAGTGTTGCTTTATTGTATGCTTTTATTATAGGTGACCAAATTCAACACTACATTTCACTTCTAACTTACTGGTAGCCTACAATATGTTTGAATTTAATTTATAGATTTTAAACCAGAATTTTGTGCTGAAGATCTTGAGGTCAACTCACACTGGCATACATATTAAACTGATTATAAAATAGAGAAGATTACAAATGTTAATTATATTAAAATTATATATATATAAAGTAGTATTTCTATAATTTAATTGTCAATTTTTCTTTTAATTATAAGAAAAAATTCAAGCAAAGATTAGTTTTAATTATTTAATGTAACTATAAACTATATGAATTTTATAAATATAATGAATAGAAAAATATATTTTTTATTAAATTTACATTTTTGTTAATGACTTTTAATTTTGAAGTATGAAATGATGATTTTTACATCTGGTTTATTTATTTTTGAAAAGGATGAATCAGGAAGGCCATTAATTACAATGTTTATGGAGAAGCCATCTAAAAAAGATTATCCTGATTATTATGAAATTATAACTAATCCTATTGACATGAAAACAATTGAAACTAATATTAAATTAGATAAAGTAAGTAATTTAAATTTAATTTATATTTATTTATTAAAAATATCTTTTTGAGAATTAAATTTTACATCACATTATGATTTATTTGGTTTTTATAAATTGAAAACTTTTAAAAACTGATAAATCATGAATTGATTTGATGTAAAATACTTATATAAAATTATTTTAATTAATTTTATATGTAAACAAATATTTTTTAATGTTACTGTAAATTTTTGTATTTTTTTTGTTTTTAGAAAGGTTTTAAAATATTATTGGTTATTTCTATATTACTATATCAATTTATTGCATTTATGTATTTTAGCATTAAAAAAAAAATAAAATGATTATTACACAGTTGACCCCCCTATAACACTGTTGATAATTCTGTGTTATATGAATTCCATGTTGTACAAGTCACTTGGATTTTACAAATACGTGAGCCATTCACAGCCCAGCACACGTATTTGTAAAATTTAAGCGACTCGTACAACATGGAATTCATATAACATGGAATTATCAACAGTGTTATAAGGAGGGTCAACTGTATTTTAAAATATGTTACTAATTTATATACAACATTTTCATTTTATTACAAAAGTTTATATAATTTAATTCTATTATTTTAAAATTATATTATTACTAAATCATAAATATGGTATTCATATGCATGTATGATATAAAATGACAAACTGTTAATGATTCAAATATTTACTGTGATTTACTTCTACAATATTCAGTTGTCAGAATGCTGTATAAGCTTTTTAACTTTGTCTTCAGAAAATTAGGAGTTAATAAAAGATTACTAGTATATTTTAAAAGTAACAATAATTACAGTTCTTTGAGTTTATGCTTATTTATGTTATTATTATTGGTATCAGTTTATTAACTAATGTTTCATTTCATTTCAATAATCTTTTTCCTTTAGTCCGAATTTTTAAGCTGTTATTTAAAATGAAAACAAATTGCATGTTTATTAAGTTATACTGAAAAACTGTAAGTAGATCATAAATATAAAATTAATACAGCAATAGTGTCTTAATATTGCTATTATTATTAGATAGATTAAATAGATTGACTTATATTAATATGTATCATTTTGTGATAAATGGTACATTGAGACTTCATCTACACAATATTTTATATCACTCATTTACTTGACATATTTCTAAATGTTTTGATCATTATTTTGAAAATAAGTAATAATTTAAATCTCATAATTTTTTCTAAAAATTTATATTATTGCATTTAGAAATATTTTGTTAAGATGAACTGTTACAAAATATATCCACAATTTTTCCATTAACAAACAGTTAATAACACACTCCAATGTTTTTGGTTATTTTAAATGGCTATCATTTGGTAATATTCTGTATGAACTTAGAGTTTTTGTTCTTACTTTTAAATTTGTAAAATGTGTGTTCTTTCTTATACATGTATACATTTCTTATATTATATTAAGATATTCAATTTTCTAGTTTTGATTTGCCTGATGATAGTCATATAAAATGATCAAAAACATTAGTGTATGCTCTTAAAGCTGTATTAAAGATATTTTGACACAATTATATTAGTTATCAATACTGATATGAACATAAACATTATATATATAATATTTTAGTACTTTGATAGAATTTTAAAATAATCTAATATTAATATTTGTTTATTTTTAATCAAAAAGTCTTTGCATAAAAAATGAATAAATCTTTATGATATTTCCTTGATTATTATAATCTTTTTAATTTATTAATTAAAAATTACTAATATTCTTGTTAATCATATTAATTTTGATTTGATTTTAATGCACATTAATTTTTAATTCTCTATAAGTTCTGTAGTCAGAATAAATAAAATCCAATAAATAATCATTTTGACAAAGTTTTCAAAGTTATGCATATTTGAACTCATTTATTTACTTATTAAAGTTATAATGAGTAATTATTAATAAAAGACAAGCATTAAATTAAACAACTGTGAATTTTCTAGCATTTGGAATACTTGAAATTCATATATAAATATAACTTGGTTAATGCAACTTCATTTAGTGTGCAATTTACTATTTGCATTTTTCACTGGATGCTCAATCTTTAGTGTTTAAAAAGAAAACTATTTTATCTGGGTCATTTGAATTATTCTTGTGTATTATAAGCAGTAAAGATGAATAGCAATAGAAAAAGCAAAGCTGTATGTTGCATTCCAAATTACAATTTTAAAGCCATAGAAGAGCCCAATATAAGTTTTCGTCTATTCCCAAATGAAAAACAGATGATTATTCAAAATCGGTCGGTTATATTTATGAACTTCTGAAAGAGTGGACTTAAAGTTTAAATGCCAGTAATTTTGTGTGGGTCACAGGGCCAGATTTAAGCATTTCGAGGCCCTAAGCTAAACTCTGTAAAGCCCTTTACTAATTCTTCACAATTTTAGAAGTCAATCATACAAAAATTAAATCAGACATAGTCTGATTTAATATGTATATTGGAAGAAAAAGACATGAGGTTTTCACTAGTCTTATGTTTTATAACTGAATTTAATTAAATTTTTATATCCGTTTCATTAAAAACCTTTTTTTATTGGTTTTATCAATTTTTTTTAAAAAAGACTTTATGTTAATTTTTTTCAAAAAAATTAATGAAGTACTATACAAAATAAAAAGTTAAGATTATTTTGTTGGTTTGTAAAAGAAATTTTATAACAAAATTTGACTTCAATTTTCTTTTTTGTAGAAATGTTTGAGGCTCCTTGAAAGTTGAGGCCCTAAGCAACAGCTTACATAGTTTGCTTGTAAATCTGGCCCTGATGGGACAGATATTAAAGCTGATGTTTTTTAACGCAAAAGGCACAAATATGTTTAGAACAATCTTGCTCATTTGTTTCGATACCACATAATGACGTGTCTCACTAGTAATAATTGTTCTCTTTCTATAAACTTTCTCAATAAACAGCTACAAGCAGCATATATTAATATAATGGACAGTAATATATGATTAATTTTACATTAGTAGTTACAAGTGACCCAGACAAAGAAACTATTTTATAAAAATGCAGCATCCTTTATAGTTCATGAAAAACGCTAATAACTGTAATTTATAATATGAGTATGTATCAGAGGAATCAAGTAATGCAGCTACTGCCATTAAGGTAGTTGGTAGAGTGGTTCTGACATAATTTTGCATAACAATTCAAATGGAGAATGCGCCATTAATTTATGCAGAACATTAGAAAATGCAGTTTGTTGAAATCAAGAGCTTTATGCAGGAAGGAATGGAACACATCTCCAAGTAACATTGGATAATTTTTTTCTTATAATAGAAACATTTAAAAATTCATTTGCAGAATAAAGCAATAAAAAGATTTAATAGCATTATTCATTTCATTTTCTTGTAGTTTTCTTTTAATATATTTTGTAACTTAATATTAATTTTTAAGTACAAAAATTCTTATCAAACGAATTATCATTTTTCTTATTAAATATGCTTCTCAATAAATGCAGATTCAACTAGTGCAGCAATTTTCTAGAACACATTAATCATGTTATATGGGAGTATTTCTGCAGTTTTACTCACAAGTTGATTTTCCAGTATAAATTATATTATAAAAAATAATTTATCCCAGTCTAATAGTGATCTGGTGCTTTTAGTTGTTTTTAAATTCAAAAGACTCTTTCTACATTTCAAGAACATTATTGAATATTATAACATTTTATTGAATTAATTTAATTACTTAAAAATTCAACAGAAATATAGCTTTTGTTTTAATCTAAAAGAACATAATACAACAGTATTATCTTTTGAACCCTATTTGTTAACTATATTATTAAAATATAAATTAAATTTTGTTATATGTTTAAGTTAAATATTTTTTCTTTCATATAAACACTTGAGTTTTGAAATATGTAATATATTGATATATTCTCTTTATAACATTGAAAAATTCTCTCAATAACTTATAATCTGTAAATTCTAAATAAATGAAATAGAAATGTAATTCAATTAAAATTTTAGATAAATGTAACATTTTGTGATTTTTAAGGTGTTCTAAATTTAAAACTTATCAGTAGTTAATCAGTTCATACTTTATGTACAGTACATAATTTTGGGTAATTAGTTAAATAGTTAAATCTTAAACATTACTCAAAAGGTAAAATGATATATTCAGCAGAAATATTTAATAAAATAAAATTAATAAGATTGAGAAATAATATACATTATAAGAAAATACAATAAATCATGTTAATTAAATAAAGTTGTTAGTAGTAAAAAATTATTGAATATTTATATTCATTTTTGCTTTTACATAATATTTAAATATTTATTTTAAATTTCAGTATCTTTCAGAAGAATCACTTATATTGGATTTTAAGTTAATGTTCAATAACTGTCGCCAATATAATGAAGAGGGTTCTCAAATTTATCGTGATGCTGAAACATTAGAAAGAATATTACTGGAAAGAATAAGAGATTTGGGCCCTTTAAGTGAAATTCATAAATCAGCTAGAATCTCAGGAAAGAGGTAAACAAGATGGGAGTAATGGTGGCACAACTACTCCCCTTTCATAAAAGTTTTAGTTATTATCCTTCTCCCTGTGATATCTGAAGTTTCTGTTGTCTTCTTTTCAGAACAGTAACGGAGCTAGCAAGAGAAGATTTGTATGTAAAAAAGTAACCTTTTTTCTTTGATGTCATTCTTCTTTCTATCTCTGCACCACCATTTCTTACATTATTATTTATTCCCATGCACTGTATTGTTCTATTGCTGCTCTTGTCCTTTTATTTGGACGCTATTCAGCTGCACTGCCTTACTGACCTAATACATTTCTGGAAATGGTGTGCTTAATCTAACCATCTTCCAATTCATTTATTTTTCAATTAATTTTTGATAAATGGGATATAACAAGCTATAAAGAAGTGGAAAGCAATCTTTATGAAATATAAATATTAACTCCAAAAATAATGGCTAATCTACTAATTATGGCTGTTGGTAAGAAGATGAAATGCCAAAAATAATGTATTATTTGTATTATTCTGCATTTTTCAGTGACTTATTTTTTATGCTGTTTTTAAATTTGCTGCTGTCCACTTAGATGCCTTGTTTGCATCTTATAGAGAGCTGTTTGCAAAGTCCCATTAATTATGTTTTACACTAATAGTGTGGCAGTACATTGAAAATATTTGAAGAAATGCATTGCAATAAAAAATAATCTATTATCTAATATATTGTTTATTGACTATGAAATTAACATTTGTCATCATAATCAACTGAATTTGATTTGATCATTTTTCTTAGTATTTGTGTCTATGCTGGCTACACTGTATTACTTGTGATTGAAGCCAATGTACTTTAATGATGATTGAAAATGTTTGATTTTATAAAATCTATGAGAAGTGTTCTTTTTGAAATTTTAATTCTGTATTCCTTGATGTATAACAGGTTAAAATTATTAATATTTCATATGAAATAATTGTTCTTGTAGACATTAAAGAACGGTTTAAAGTCAAACAGACCTATTGTGATTTTCTTGCATTTTTGAAATTGAGGAAAATCATTTAAAAATTTTCAATCTGAAAGGGAGCTTCAGATTTCAGGCAGGCATGCAACCTATTATATTATTTATTTATATTTACTTATGATTTCTCACATTTATTTTCAAAACATCCTGTTATCTTCCCATTAATAATAGATTTTTTTCTTTTCAGTTGATACTTTCATTAAAGATCACTTATATTGAAACAATGATTTAGAAATAAATTTATTTAAATACCAGATATATATTTATTTAAATTTATCAAATTTATTTATTGATATTATCAAGTTTATGTAAATATTTTTAAGTAAACATTTTTATAAATGCAAAAATAAAAATATTAGTAATTGAAATGTTAAAAGTTTAAATATAAAATATTGTAATTAAAATTGAGAGACTTTGTATGTAATTATTATTTAGAAGTTTCAAACATTTTAAAATGTATATATAATAAAACGTAAAGCTTGTTAATTAATTATGAATATTGTACAGTACTTCTCTGTAATTGATAAAGTATATAATTCATTATCTGTATTGTCAATATGCAGAATAATACATTCAAAAATATAAAAGATAGAGACAGAGAAAGAAAGTGTTAATTAAGTTGAAAAATTTTAATATAGTTTAATATATTAAGTTTCTTCTTCTTTTTAACAGCCACTAGGAATAAATAATATAGATTATAAAAATATTTAGCTAGAAAAAGTTTACAATAATTTATGAAATGTTGATATATTTTTTAAATTACTTAAATATTATATAATACTAAGTTTAAGAAAATTCAATGTCTATTGCATAAAATTTAAACTTTTGTTTTATTCTAGGAGCAGAAATACGTATTTGAAACAAAAATTGAAAACACTTTATGACACCATTAGAGAATATACTGATAACAAAAATCGTAAACTGTCAACAATCTTTATGAAACTACCATCTAAAACTGTGAGTACATTATAAATTATTCAATATTCATAAAGTTTTGAAAAATTTTTTCATGATTAAAATTATTAAGATATTAAGATTGCTACTAATAATTATTGGGATGCTAATTTCTTTAACTAATAATCTTTATTTTTTAATCATGATTAAATAATAAGAATACTTACTTTTAATACTTATGTTTTCTTGCATGAAGATATTATTAAAAAACTACATTTTTGTTTGATATTTTAAGTGTATAAATAACAAATGTTCTTGTTGTTTTGAAAATTATCATTAAATTATACTATATATCTTTAATGTATATGCTACAAAAAATATATATACATACAAATATAATTACTGTCAGTTAAAAAATTAATCATGAATAATCTTAGTCTGTGATAAATTACAAAATTTGGACTTAATAAATTTTTTGGAAATGCTATTATTCCAAATTCATACTTCAGTCCCTGTGTACATGTTATATGTTCAATGACCAAAGTATGAAGTATGAACCTGTGCCAGTCTACAAAATGACTTGCCCATTATATATACAGCATAACCTTCGAATAGTAGACACTGTTGGGACTGATAAGTTTATCCACTATTTAAGGGTGTCCACTATTCAGAGGTACATGCTGGAGGCCATATTGTATTTTAACCCAGTCATTATAAAGTGAAGAATACAATGGAGTATGAAAACATCAAATTTGTATTAGGAATGTGAAAATCCCAAAAAGTGTATGTAGCATATAGCATGTATTTATCTTTTCAGCTGTAAAAATCATAATTTAATTGTATTCTAAATAGCATACAGATTGCATAGGATATTTTAATTAAATGGAACATAAAAATTACAACAAAACATAAATGTTGATTAATTAGTAGATCATCAAAAACTACCTGAGCAGAAGCTATGAAAAAGAAAAATGAATCTGTTATTATGAACAGAAAGATTTATGTAATAGGAGTTAAATGTTGAGTTACAAAGACAATTTGCTAGTCACTTCAAGGGGTAAGAAATGTATTCAGTATTCTTGCATTTATAACATCATTTATGATCTAAGTGACTAATAAAAATTTATACAGGGATTTGTCTGCTTTATAATTATCGAGTAGATATAATTTTTCAAACATGTTTGCTTTTTTTCAATAAATGATTTATTAAAAATTACTTTAGCTGCCACAAAACTGTTAAGATAATAAATGATGTCATAAATGCCAGAATACTGAATATCCTCTCACACTTTAAATTGGCTGGCAAATCTTCCTTTTAACTTTCATCACAATAAACATTGTTGTCATAACCTTAAAACTTTCTTTTTCATTACTACAGTTCTTGTTGAATGGATGAATAACTCGGAAAAGTTTATTGTTTATGGTTCTTTAGCGTATTTTTTTGTTTACACCTACTCCATGGTACAAATAGAGAATTTATTGAAAACAATGAGAATATGGTAGTACAGTGCTTCCAATTTACTATACACAAAATAATTAATAACTATTTCATACCAAGCAGATTGATAGCACTGTGGTTGTGAACACAATATTCACAAGCCATGGGTACCATAAGCTTAAATCCAATAATAATAAGCTTAAGTTCAATGTTTAATAACATGAATATGTATGATGATAAATGGTGATTGACAATTTAACCAGATTAGTCTTTTCTAACAGATAATGAGTATTGTTTGGCTTTTTACAATTTTTTTCTCTTCCCCTATTCCTGTTTTAAGTCAATACTTATTCAATGCCTATGGTCAAAATTCTTCCTCTGAAAGAGTATTTGAACTGATTCTTTCTTTTAGTTTTAAAATATTTCGTATGTGATTAATTCTTTCAGAATATTGAAGGCGAGACTAAGGTAGGATGATGGCGACTGTTATTTAGTGTTCACTGTTTAGAGGTGAATATAAAAGATGCCCTATTTGAAGGGTCTGGGGATTGTAAAAATGTCTGCTATTCTGGAATGTCTGTTAATGGAGGTTTCACTGTATACGTAAATTAAATGTCCAATGTCAAAAAATGTATAACTTCAGGATTTGGATGGCCATATCTAAAATTTTGGTTGATTCCAATTGGTCAGAATTCAAATTAAGATAAAAAAAATAATTTTAGCTTGTAATAAACTGGTTTTTTAACATCAGTTGTATGCATGCATACATACATTTGAGAAAATATCAAGTATTATTTTGAATATTTTATGGTAAATTTGTATTTTCAGTTCAACTTCAGACAAATTTAGTAAGAAAAAAGATGAAATTATTTGGTGAAAATCAATATATTTTATAACATTTTTTACTAAATTTAAAGCAAAGGGAATGAATTATAAGTATAAAAACAATTGTCTTCTTTATTTGTACATTCTTAATTTGGTACAAGTCACTATGCACTAATAATCAGTAAAGCATTTCTTTGTATATGAGTATCAAATGAATTCTTATCCTCCCATGACTGTTTTGTGCTTGACAATACAGCTCCTCTTCTTATGATATTGATTTACAGCTGATTAACTTTTCTTCAAGAATGGTAAACTTGTGTTGTATAGTGATTTCACACACCATATTTAGTTCTTATTTTGCAAAAATTATTTTTCACACCATAATTATAGCCAGGATACTTCATTGATCATTATGTCTCTGCCTATCTGAAACTTGTATGCAAACATTGACTTCTGGTTGTCTATTCTCAAATTTCCTGTCAAAGTTTAAGCATTTTTGCAATTTGTATATATAAACTACAATGTGAGTGGTAGATTTTTTAACCTCTGAAGTGTCAGGGGTTAAAAATAGCCCCTTGTATTTGTAGCTTCTTCCTTTTTTATACCAAGAAAAGCAGATGAGTTTTGTAATATACTCTTCATTTTCTGCTAGATGTTCCACAAGTTTCATGAACAGAAAAATGTGTGAAAAAGATACACTTGTGTGTCATCACACAGTTTTTCTTTAAATATTGTTTTTGTGCTAACTGTTTGTAGCAATAACAATGTAACAAAATAAAATCAAAATCAAAATTTAAAAATAATCAAAAGCTTTAAAACTGTGTTATTTAAAATCATAGAATGTATAAAAGTGATAAGAAACAAAAATTAATAATGGAATTAATAAAAGTTGACATTAATGGAGTTAATAAAAGTTAATAATGTTTTAAAATTCAAAGCATTAAAATTTTTGAATTAAAGCATATTTAAAGAAATAATCTGATAAGTTTTAAAATCTTTTTAGGAGTATCCTGATTATTATGAAGTAATCAAAAGACCTTTGGATATGGACAGAATAGGAAATAGAATGAAAACTGGGCAGTATGACAGTTTAGAAGATATGCTATCTGATTTTGTTCTGATGTTTGATAATGCCTGTAAATATAATGAGCCAGATTCACAAATATATAAGGTAAGCTGATATTTAACTCATTCCATAATTATAAATTTTGAGAACTGATAGTGTAACTGGCAACGTATCTGCATGGTAAGCGGGAGTTGTGGGTTCAAGTCTTGCTCTGGGCTGATTCTTTCCTTCCAGTTTAGTCTAAAATTATTTAATTAATATTATAATTATTATTAAATTTAATTCCAGATGGTATCTAAGGCCTCCCTCTAGTGTCAAATTCATTTGTAATTTAAAATTATTATTACCAAATTATAGCCCAATTATTTACAGCAATTGTGGGTGTGTCATTTGAGAATTAGATTATAATTATTTCTTACATCATTTATATTTAATTAGCTTGTGTTCACTTTCTATAAAGTATTTTAAAATATTTTTATTTCTTATGATAATTTTATTTTTTAATTTTATATATTCTTATATTTCCAGTGTTTTCAAATTATATTTATCTATGCATCAGATAATTGTTGCTTCTTTACTATTATTATTATTTGTTATTTGGAATGATTCATTGATATGTAGTTTGAACACAGCTTCACTATACATCTAAACAGTCTCTCTTGTTTGAGATTTACAAAACAAAAACAATCATTCTTCTACAGCTGGTCTTTTTCTTTTATAAAACACTGTATGCATGAATTCTAGTCACAGCTTATCAATGAGTTACGTAATGATCTTTTGATGCATTTTATGTGATAACTTTGTGAGTCTGATTAAAAAATTGTACTCCCAAGATTTGTCATTGAATATTTGTCTTTGTTGAAATTAACTTCTTAACTGTCTCAAAAAATGCATTCAAGAAATTGAGTGTTCAAGACAATTAAAAAAGAAGTTATTTATGTGTTTCGTTTTGAAAATATAGGACCCGAAGAAAACGTAGAACAGCAATTGATAATGTTACTCCATATTACATCAATAAAATATGCACTAGAGTTTATTCATAGTTCTGTAGCGTAATTTTTTTGTTTACACCTACTCCATGGTACAAATAGAGAATTTATTGAAAACAATGAGAATATGGTACTACAGTGCTTCCAATTTACCTTACACAAAATAATTAATAACTATTTCATACCAAGCAGATTGATAGCACTGTGGTTGTGAACACAATATTCACAACCAAGAGTCAAGAGTTAGAGTTAGAAGTTAACCAATTACCATTTACTTTACTTATAGTACATGAATATTTAGTGATTAACTTCTAACTTTTGATCTTTGATTGTGAAATAGTCATAAGAGGACCTTTTTTCAAGGCCCTCATATGGCCCAGATGGCTTGGCTTCACTTTGGTCATCTGGCAGTACCAAATGCAGACACTAGTTTTGATTATTAAATTAGTTTGGTCGTTGTTATATGAACTTGTAAGGATTATGTTAGTACTGTTAGTATTTGAATATCCAGCACAAGTTCTCAAGAATAGAGAGAACTTTTTTACGTGTAGAATTGAATATTTTTTGATTTTTGTATTTGAATACTGTTATCTTTAGTTGGAATCACTTTGGATTAAAAATGAATTACTAATATCAATAAGCAATTAATTGTTTTATTGCACTGTAAACAAAAACAAAAGTGAAGAATACAATGGAGTATGAAAACATCAAATTTGTATTAGGAATGTGAAAATCCCAAAAAGTGTATGTAGCATATAGCATGTATTTATCTTTTCAGCTGTAAAAATCATAATTTAATTGTATTCTAAATAGCATACAGATTGCATAGGATATTTTAATTAAATGGAACATAAAAATTACAACAAAACATAAATGTTGATTAATTAGTAGATCATCAAAAACTACCTGAGCAGAAGCTATGAAAAAGAAAAATGAATCTGTTATTATGAACAGAAAGATTTATGTAATAGGAGTTAAATGTTGAGTTACAAAGACAATTTGCTAGTCACTTCAAGGGGTAAGAAATGTATTCAGTATTCTTGCATTTATAACATCATTTATGATCTAAGTGACTAATAAAAATTTATACAGGGATTTGTCTGCTTTATAATTATCGAGTAGATATAATTTTTCAAACATGTTTGCTTTTTTTCAATAAATGATTTATTAAAAATTACTTTAGCTGCCACAAAACTGTTAAGATAATAAATGATGTCATAAATGCCAGAATACTGAATATCCTCTCACACTTTAAATTGGCTGGCAAATCTTCCTTTTAACTTTCATCACAATAAACATTGTTGTCATAACCTTAAAACTTTCTTTTTCATTACTACAGTTCTTGTTGAATGGATGAATAACTCGGAAAAGTTTATTGTTTATGGTTCTTTAGCGTATTTTTTTGTTTACACCTACTCCATGGTACAAATAGAGAATTTATTGAAAACAATGAGAATATGGTAGTACAGTGCTTCCAATTTACTATACACAAAATAATTAATAACTATTTCATACCAAGCAGATTGATAGCACTGTGGTTGTGAAAACAATATTCACAAGCCATGGGTACCATAAGCTTAAATCCAATAATAATAAGCTTAAGTTCAATGTTTAATAACATGAATATGTATGATGATAAATGGTGATTGACAATTTAACCAGATTAGTCTTTTCTAACAGATAATGAGTATTGTTTGGCTTTTTACAATTTTTTTCTCTTCCCCTATTCCTGTTTTAAGTCAATACTTATTCAATGCCTATGGTCAAAATTCTTCCTCTGAAAGAGTATTTGAACTGATTCTTTCTTTTAGTTTTAAAATATTTCGTATGTGATTAATTCTTTCAGAATATTGAAGGCGAGACTAAGGTAGGATGATGGCGACTGTTATTTAGTGTTCACTGTTTAGAGGTGAATATAAAAGATGCCCTATTTGAAGGGTCTGGGGATTGTAAAAATGTCTGCTATTCTGGAATGTCTGTTAATGGAGGTTTCACTGTATATGTAAATTAAATGTCCAATGTCAAAAAATGTATAACTTCAGGATTTGGATGGCCATATCTAAAATTTTGGTTGATTCCAATTGGTCAGAATTCAAATTAAGATAAAAAAAATAATTTTAGCTTGTAATAAACTGGTTTTTTAACATCAGTTGTATGCATGCATACATACATTTGAGAAAATATCAAGTATTATTTTGAATATTTTATGGTAAATTTGTATTTTCAGTTCAACTTCAGACAAATTTAGTAAGAAAAAAGATGAAATTATTTGGNTCCGTTGCGTGTCGCTTCGTGTTGAATTTTCATTGATGTTAAGCCTAACGTAAACTTTTTAAAATAATAATAACTATTGTATCATTAAAAGTTATTTTTTTATTTTGTACAAACAAAATAACTATATTGAAAAATATAAAAACCAAAAAAAAATATACTTTAGAAGTTGATCTAGTATCAAAAACATTCGATTCAGCACGACACACAGTCCTCAGAAAAACACCACACAAAAATGCCAGTGCTGCCAGCTAAAACACACACCTCAACAAAAAAAATATTGGAGTAACCCAACATATAGCCAAAGATTGCAGCACTAGCGAAAATTTAAATCTGCCGACTGGAATTCTTTCAGATAACTGACGTTTCAGATAACCGACTTTCGGATAAACGACATTCTATTGTATATTCAAAACAATTACAACAGAATAAAATAAAACATTGCAAAAACTGGAAAGTAATATAATCATTCACCAACACCATTCATACTGGTTCCAGCAGGCATGTTTATTGGAAAAATAGATGTTTTTGATTACTTTCAGAGATTTTCGTCAGGCTCTTATATGTTTCCATAAATTGAATGTGATTAATCAAACAAATTAAAAGACATTTTTTTAAAATTTATACAATTAATTGCAAACTAGTATATAAGATATCTGTGAGTAATAGAATAAAATTTATGAAAATTATACAAACACATGCCAAACATACCAATTTAAATAAATGAAAATATAAATAAAGGGAAAAGTAAACTAAAAAATTTTATATAAAATGTATACTAAAATAACCAAATATATTTTGTAGAAAATAAACTGATTGTAATAAATATTTCTTTAGTTTGATAGTAAATTTTGATATCAACCACTTACAGAAAGAAAAGAAATTGAATGAATTTACCAACCATATACAACTATTGTTAATTTTGTACTCATTTTGTATATTAATAATAATGCAAAATGGATTTTAATTAATTGATTTATAATTATTAAATATTGCATTTTATTAGTTAAATTTTAATTTTTAAATGGTTTAGTTAATCATAAAAGTAAGAAAATATAGTTCAAATTTTGCTAAAACAAGATTTCAATTCAGGATGAAGAAGGACGTTGTTATAGTGATTCATTAGTAGAATTATCTGAAACAGATACCTCTTCTGATCCTCAATGCCCTATGAAGTAAGTTTGATAATCTAAATAAATATTTGTTATTTAAAATTATAAATAAATTTTTATAAATTTTGAGTTTATTTTATGTTCTATTAAATATATGAAATATTATATTTATTCCTCTTATAAAGAATAAATATACAGTATACTCAGAAATTAGTAGTCTGTTCAAATAGATATAGTGATCAAAACAAGATTAATGAGCTGTATGTAATTTATAAATACAAATACTTATGGTGAACATTAAGAACATGATGAAAAAATAAAAAACCAAGGTAGCTTTATTATATCCTTTAAAAAACTTAAAATATTCTAACAGATCTAAACATTGATATTTATTCATACAATTGATTGACAGTTCTTAATACTGTAAATATTATACTGTAATAAACTTATTATACACTGTAAATATTATACTGTGTATCACATTGTTTTTTTTTATTTTATATTTTTGTGTGTTTATTACATATATAGAGATTATTATATATTTACTAGTAGCTATATATAGAAATATATATCTACTAGTCTAATACAGTTCTTTCCATTGTTGAATTACCAGTAGTATAATTTTTAAAGCATGTTTAGCTGGCTATCTCTGAGATATTGTTTTACTTTATCACATTTTCTGTATGAGCACTTCTAGTTCCTATTTTATCAAACTTATTTGTACTAAATTTTATTGATACTAAACTTATATTGATTGTAACATAATACTAAACTTTATTGAATTATCAAGAAACATTTAACTCAATGTAATGAGATGTGTAGAGTATTTCATAACATTCTTAAAAGCTATATTTCATATTACATTAGAATCTACTTATTGTAATTGCTATTGACTTACCTAAAATGATGATGATAACTGAATTACAACACTAAAGCAGGGTAAGCAAATAATATTACAATTAACATTAAATTGTACAACTCCATTAGTTATGATTATCACTTTACATTGTTATAGGAGTCAGAAAATGGCTTTAGTTTGGATTAGCATTTTTGGAGTCTACAATTCCATCTTTTCATCCATTATATTTGACAAATCGAACTAACATTAGGACATACCAATATTCAAACTGTTTGTTACTTTGTATTGTGTGGCAATTGGCTTTTAATCTGTATGACATTTAAGATGACTAAGTTTACACAAAACAAGTTTGATAAGAATGAAAAGTATTTAATTTTACTTTTGGTTTAATCTTAGAATATATTATTTAACTTTGTCATAATATGATACATAAATATTTGTTCTACAGCAATAGCACATGAACAGTATCAGATCACAACTCTCAAAAAAGACAGAAAAGACACTTTATGATGTTTATGGTTGTTCCCAAGCAAGGTGGACTCTCTGCTCCTCTCCCTTATGTAATAAACAACCAAACTACAATAAATGAATGTAACAGTCCCCAATGTCCACTTCTCTGAAGAAATACATTGTCTTCTGCAGGTGTTTCTGACATAAACAACTGCAGACCCACCACAGACAACCATATGTGAGAGTAAAGCACATGATACAGTACATAGTTTCTTATTTTTAAATAAATTAATGTCCAAAAGTTTAGGTTTCTTTTGAATAAAAACCCAATTGTCACATGCTATTCAAGTAACAAGTAGTGTGAAAATTGGCATACTATAATGTTAGTTTGTTCAATTTGTCAAATTATAACTGATCTGAAGTTGAAATATTAGATTCTGAAACATTAATCCAAAATAAAGTCTTTTTCTGATGCATACAAAGAACTGTATAAAGTGATACTTTTAGTCAAAACTTCAATTAGTGGAAATGTTGATTTTATTCACTCTAATATTAAAAACTTATGTTAAAACACATAAAATGCATAACTTAAAGATGTATTACTATATTTATTATTATTAATTAATAATAATTCATCCATTTCTATTCATCATTCTTGCTGCTTTTTGCTATATTAACTGATTAATTACTAGTATGCAATGAAAGTAAGAAATGACAGCAATTTAAACCATTATGTTGCAAGCAAATAATGATTAAAATGATTAACATTTAAAGCACTGGTTAAAATTGATAACTGAAGATGATTGAATATTAGTAGTCATATATTGAGGCTGACAATATGAAAAGACTGCTTTTTGTCTATTTGAAGATAATGATAACTATAATAGAATTCTGATTGCAATAAGTACAGTTTTGTAAGTTTATTCTAATGTATAGTTTGGGATTTAATTCTGTAACATAACAATATCTGTTTTAAAATTTAACAGATGTATTTTTTTTTTTTTAAGGAAACCTTTAAGTCTTGATATAATAAAAAGGAGACTTGATAAAGTAAGTATAATTGTTTTATCAAATTAAATCAATATGTAATTTAAATAGTATAATACAGTAGAACCTCGAAAACTCGGCCTAATGTGGACCGAAGGGTGGCCGAGTTTGTGAAAATGCCGGGTTATCGGGAATGGGGTTAAAAAAATAAGTACGAGTGTTTCCTCAGAAAATACTGTACTGTACTTGTATGTATTGTTTACTTGAGAATATAACAGAGAATAAACTGCCCAAATACCCTTAAACAAAGGAAAAGTACGTCCTTTATGAAGGCATAGAGCCTTTACTACATGAAAATGAAAATTAATGAATACACTGTGTACAGTAATTTACCTGATAAGACAGACCTCAGAAAAATACTTTATGAGAGCTTTTATACTTTTATAAAGCTGTCTATAATGAAAATTAATTAACTAAGGATTTTTTTGCCCTGCCAGGGTGTGGCCGAGTTATCCGGAGTGCCGGGTTATCGAGAGCCGAGTTTTCGAGGTTCTACTGTATTTAAATTATATAATTAAACATATACTGTATCTTATTAGTAACTTTTACTGTATGTATAATGGTACAGTAGACAGTATTACAAAGTTTTTGATTTCAGTAATTTAGTTTTCTATTTACAATGTTTTTAAAATTGTATTTGAAATAATAATAATAATTTTAATAAATTATGATAAATTTTTTTTGTTATATACTTTTATGTTTTTAATATATGTATAGACATTTTTATCAATAATATAATTTTTATACAGTTTAATTAAACTGCTGAAATTAAGAATGTTTTAGTTTTTGTATTTGTTTGAACAAATAAGATATGGTAAAGTTTCAAGATTTAGGGCCACATGCCTAAAACATTCACCAACAGTGAAATTGTGGAATTGATAAGTGAAGTCATTTAATTTGGAATGTATAAACATTTTTACCTATTACATAACATCATGTGGTAAGGAAAGCCTTCACCAATTTATAACTGATTCAATCCCTCTGGTACACCATCAGAGGGATTGAATCAGTTATAAATTGGTGAAGGACTTGATAGTATAGTGAAAAGATTTATTTGTTTTTAATGTAAAAGCATCAGATCCTCAAATAAAAAGCTGACATTTGATCATTTTTAACTTTGTGAATTTTTACCTATTATTATTTGTCTTGTTTTATGAAGGTTTTCTTGAAACCAATATAACTGTTACTTCTGTGGTTGTGTTAAAAGGTTTAAAAGATAGACTCAAAAATGTATATATATTTTTGTAAATAGTCTTAACTTCAAATATTGAAGAAAAATATATCTGGAGTCATCATTGAACATGATTATTTAAATAATGAAAGAATGCTAATATTTTTGATTCAGTTACTAGTCCATCATCAGGTACGGACAGATAAAAGTGAAATGCCAGTGTTAGAAAATTTCATTTGTCTGCATATGAAGAAGGCCTGTTAACATTAGAATTACTTCAACTTCATCCATTGATTAATTCAACAGATTAACTAGTGGCTAGTTTATCATTATATGTACTAATTTCTCAAATCAGTTATTGTTGCAATGATAAATGCCATAACATTGATAAAATTACCATTCAGTAATCCTAGTTTTCTAAGAAAAGTAGTATTATTTAATAAAATTATATAGTTAAAATAAAATTAGTTCAAATTAAACAGATGTTACAAATGTTCAAAATTGCAATTTTAGGGACGTTACAAGCGACTAGATACTTTTCAAGATGATGTTTTTGAAGTTTTTGAACATGCTCGAAATGTCAGCAGAACAGATTCCCAAGTGTTTGAAGATTCAATTGAATTACAGTCATATTTTATTAGAATGAGAGATGAATTATGTCGATTTGGTGAAGTTTTACAATCACCTGCTTTGAAATATAGAGAGTGCCATTTACAATCTAGTGTTGAAGCATTAAAAGCTGAAAAACTTCCTTGTGAACAACAAGAAGCAGAGTTGGAACCTAAACAAGAAAAGGTGAGGAGAAAAATAGACATCTGGATTTTATGAAACCAGAAATTAATTGATATAACCCTACATTTAGGATGAAAGCACAGAAATTTCCACAGCAGATAGTATGACTTTTAAAGGAATGACTTATTACATTGGTGATTTTGTATATATAGAACCTAGGTAAGTTTCAATTATAATATGTGAAGTGTTTCTATGTTATTGCTATACAAACTATGTATTTGACAATGTGACAGTTTTAAAATGCTCATTTAATGTATATTACAGAGAAAAAGGGATGGAACCACACATAATGCATATAGAAAAGCTTTGGAGGGATAATCAAGGTGAACAATGGATATATGGGTGTTGGTTTTATAGACCAAATGAAACATTCCATTTGGCTACAAGAAAGTTTCTCCAAAAGGTCTGTAAAATTAAAATGGATAAATATAATGTTAAATAGTAAACAATTATGTATTGATAATTTTAATGAAAAATTTTTACTTTTAATTAGGAACTTTTTAAAAGTGATAATCACAATAGCGCACCTCTTTCTCAAGTAATGGGAAAATGTTATGTGATGTTCGTTAAAGATTATTTTAAATATAGACCAGAAGTAAGTAAATTCTTAATTTTTGATGAAATCTGTATATATTACAATTAAGTAATTCATTATCTTAGATTTAGTTTAATTTAATTTTAGGACAAAATATAGAATATAATGACTTTTAATTGACTAAGAAATTATTATTTATATTATAAATTGTAAAATTTAATTTATATCTAAAATATATACTGAATTTTACCAAATTTAAATGTTAAATTTTTTTTGTTACAAGATGAAAAATTATTATTATTTAATCTATGATTTTTAAAATTGTTACGAGCATTTTTTATGTATTTTTAAACTTCAGTATAATTTTCAATACTAGTACATTCTATTTCTTGCCAGTGAGAATTGGTAGGTGGAAACTTTAATAATTTTATTTAAACAAAATATACAGTCTTTTTAGTACTGTAAGGTCTCGTTTTATGCGGTGGATACGTTCTACAGAAAAGAGCATATAAAAAATTCGCATAAAAAAAGACTTTACTTGCATTGAAAAAGTAGGGATACGTTCCGTAATTTTCTAAAATCGCATAAAACCAAACATACGAGTTAAAATTAACTTAAAACCGCATAAAAAAAGTTTGCAGAAATTAAAAGAAATAGGCTGCTTAATAAATTACTTTGAATGTCTGAAAGAAATTCATATAAAAGCTTAAAATAAACTTGTATTCAAACTTAATTCAGTTTATTTTATTGAAAAGTAATACAAGGGGAATCCCCGAATTGCAAAAGCTCACTCTAAAAACAAATCACTGACATCTGGATGTGAAGAGTTAATTAAAACCCCTTTAGTTCCTCGCCCGAGTTAACTCCGGCAGATTACATAGCGTTACATAAAACACGGTCCTTAAGGCCATTTTTGAATTTTTTTTGAATTTTTGGAATGTTTTTTAAGTCTCCAAATTTTTTAAAAATATTTAAAAATATACGGCCAGCTAGTGTTCACCCTACTTTAAACCCTTGTCCTCCCGCGACGTCTATGAGAATGCCCCGGGAAATCCAACTCCAGCTGTGTTCAAGGTCATCCAGATGTGTAAACAATGACTCATCGGTGTTAAATTTCACAGAAGGGCGAGACAAAGGAAGTTAAACTTTCCAAGCTTTTTCTTCAAAATTAACGCATTTCTTTCGTTTTTTTCAGTTTTAAGTATTTTTTATGTTTAATTACATTTATATCAAAAATTGCTAGGAACTAAAGCGATTAAGGTAGATCTAGCTGTCCTTTACATCCATAAACGTTATATGTCAGTGGAACAAATGGAGTGAGCTTTGAGCGTTCCACGATTTTTGGAGACTGTCTATTCGTGGGCTTCCTAAACAAGCCTATATGTATGTTTGTCCAAGAAATTTTTGGATGAAATACAAACCGCACAACTTCAAAATTGCATAAAAATAATCCGCATAAAAAGAGACCTTACAGTATTTAAGGTTTAATTAAAACAAGTGTGGTTAAGTCAATCTGACAGCATGCTTCACAAAAGCGAATCAAATATTAATTTTGTTTAAGATAAATTTTATAAATTCTTGGAATTAAGTAGTAGTTCAGAAGAATTTTTCACTGAATATACAGTAAAGGATGTGGTTTATAGATTCCAGAAGAACTTGGTAGTTTTTACTATAGCTTACTGTGACTGTAAACGAAAATGTTCAGTTCCCTTTTGCGCATGCACATGAACATATATAATGAATGGATTGAATGGAACATAACACTTAGGTAACGAAAGTGAACAGAGTTGTTGCGCATGCATGTGTTTAACAGACACACGAAAGTCCTAACATAAGTACTTTACTACTATAGTGGAGTGGGAGATAAAAAAAAATGATTATCTTAACAATTACAAAAATATCTAACATTAAAAATTCCTCAAATATAAAATTTACTGATTATTTTATAATATATTTTTTAATAGACTGCAATAAATTTCATTTTCTTTTACAATTTCTTCTGAAGTATGTTTCAAAATACAGTTTTATAAAAACATATTCAAAATAAGAATGTCATAAAAATTATTATTTTTGATGATTTTTATTCCTGTTCAAGTTTTAAATCATATTAATGGAAACCATTGATGATTTAATATTAATTATGCTTCAGATCTGATTTTGCAGAAATAAAAATTAATCCCAGTTCAAACATGACTTATGAATAAAATTGAAAGAAACAAACCACTTATTCATAAAAAACAAGATGTATTGTCTTCAATTTATTGAATTCTTTATTCTTTCATCATTAAAGCAATTATTATGGACAAGCAAACCTTGCCCCATTAATATGACAAAATAGTAATTGCCCCTTTAAAAAGTAACAATAACAAAAAATAATTTAAAAAGGTAATAAAAATGTATAGAAACAAATAATTAGTTTTAAGACATAATTGTTGAACTTAAACATAATATGTTAAACTTTACAAAGTTTATTATATCATAAAATAATTTATTACTTTAGTAATTATATTAACAAATTTATTAATTAATTTTTGTTTAAGGGTTGTGATGACAAAGACATTTATGTATGTGAATCACGTTATTCTGCAAAAGCCAAAGCATTTAAAAAAATCAAGGTATGCAATTAAATTAATTTAAATAGAAGTAGTTTTTATAATATCATAAGTGCTACTTTTTCTCAGTGTTTATGGTAGCAATATTATTAGAAACAATAGACTTAATTGATACTTGTTTCTGAATAATCTTTATTATATATGTAATTTTTTTTTTGTTTCGAAAATCTTTTATCAAGAATGATATTTTCTAGCATTATATATATGTTTAATATTAATATTATTATAATTTATCACAGGAATTTAGAGAAAAACTTTTAAATAACTATTAATACTCTAAAATCATTATCATCATAATGTAATTTTATTCTTATGATATTAATATATGTGTGTTATTAATGAATATGTTATCAGTTTGCAGTTTGCAACAAACTCAATAACACAGAATGCTTTCTGTTGATGAGGTTGCCATTTTGGTGCAAACTGACAACAAGCTCTTGTAGGGTGATTAAGGGTGCTCATAGTGACATCTCTCCACAATCAACTGAAACTTCAGAATGTTTCTTATATAATGATTTGTGGAATGGTGCTATAAGTTGTTTAGTTGTGGAGATATAGCTTTTCAAAGTTGGGATATTCTTTTGTAATCTACCTGTACATACTTGTAATTAGAATGATGATTTTTGATGAAACAAATCAGTCTCCCCTCTAGTTCTTGCATCATCTCATTATGCAAAATCCATGATTTTATTTCTGAAGGGGAAATAAATGTTAATTTTCTCAATTGAGAAGATAGCACTCCCTGCATTCTGGAATTATGACTGAGTGAAAATTTTTGGTCATTTCAGAAACGAAAGGCTTAGTTTAAATAAAAGCAAAAATTGCTGATCAATTAAAATTGAAGATCATATCATGCTTGAAGAAGATTGACATGAGTGTCACACAGAAAATGATGAATTACATTCAAAGAAATCTAATGATGTCCATTGTTAAAGCAAAAATTAGTTAAAGTAACTTATGATTTTTGTTGTTTTGTAAGATTTTTTACAAAGTAAAAACTTACAAAATATTGAGTATAAGAAAGTAACGAGCATATGAATTTTGTATAATTTTTAGTCATTACTCATTAGATTAAGATTAGATAGATAGATAAATATTTAATAATTTATTTTATAAAACATAAAATGTTAGCTGTCTTTTAATTGCTCTCTTTATTTATACTTTTTACTGGTTTTAAACATTACTTTATAAAGTAAAAAGTATTGGAGTTTTTTTATTGTTGTATTTTATTGATCTTATCACAAAATTAAAGAATAGATATTATTAATATTGCAATTGGATTTAATGATTATCAATATTATAAAATTTATCATTAATTTGATTAACAAGATGAAAATTGGAAAAAACTGAAAATATCACATTAAATTAGATGTATTTAAAATTTAAAAATGAACAATAAATAATTTTTTTTTTCTTTTGAGAAAAACAATTAGTTAATTTATTATATTAATAATAATAGTGAAAATATTAACTTAAAAGCTGTAGGATTTTTTAATTTTATTAATATTATTTTTATTAATGTTAAATAATCTCTTAGCAAATCTTTAACCAGTGGGAAATATGAATAATTGTCCATGCAAACATTTTCGGATCCCTCCTGATCTGAAAACGTTTGCATGGACAATTATTCATATTTCCCACCGGTTAAAGGTTTGTTAAAAGATTATTTTACATTCATCTGAAGTGTGAAGATTCTTTATTAATGTTATTCTATTTTTAAATAGGTATGGGGTTTTACACCCAATAATTATGTATCTATAGTTGTCAGAGAAGAACCACTAAATCCTATAAGAGTGCCATCAGTTTTTAAAGATGGTGTAGAAAAACCAAAAGATGAAGGTTCTGATATAGATGATAATGATTTAGTCATTGTTGAAAAACCTAGACCTGTATGTATTAAAATACTTTTTTAAATCATAAGTTAAATATTTATATTTTTTACATTCTAATCTGTAATAATAAAATTTCAAAAACCAGAATATCATCTGTGAAGTACAAAATCCTGAGGATGGTGCCGTCTATTATGAACAATACAGCATTCCTGCAGGGACATTTAAACTTGGTAACTTTGAAATATATGTGTATATATATTTATAATTTCTTATCCATCTTATCAAAATAAAACTAATTATTTGAGAATTAACAATCCTGTACTTTACTAGATTTTCATATTGAGATTATTGAACATAATCTATTTTTTTGGTAAAGGTAGTTTTTTGAGTGTTTAGCTCTACATTTATTATAAATTTTCTTTAATGTTTTGTATATATATATATATTATTGTGGAACAAATGAGGAGGAAAAATTTTACCAAGAACTAAATAAAGTGAAGATAAACAAATGAAAAATAACTTAGAAGAACTAGTTGGTTACATTGTTTGAATTGTAGAGACACATTGAATAGAGATTGCCATATGAAAAGTCATGGAACAGAATGGTTCATGAATACTAATTCTATTTGAACAATTTTTTTATAAAAGTTGATGTGGCTCCTGCTGAACAAAAGTCTGAGTTACAAAAATTTTACTTCATAGCAATATAAAGTACCTTTTACTTAAAGCTCTTTCACCAACTGTGTTTAAATCTAACCAATAGTTCAACTATCAATTTAGAGCAATTTATTATGGTATTCTCATACATTAATGATAAATCAACTGGCTTATTAATTTAACTAATTAGAGCTAATGATTTAAAAGACTCCTAATTAGCAAAATAGTATTGTTTCTAATGTTGTTTTAGTAATGAAATGATTTGATTCAGTTTAAATGTACAGTATTACTTTGTAAAAATAAATACAGTAGAACCTCGAAAACTCGACCTAATGTGGACCGAAGGGTGGCCGAGTTTGTGAAAATGCCGAGTTATCGGGAATGGGGTTAAAAAAAATAAGTACGAGTATTTCCTCAGAAAATACTGTACTGTACTTGTACAGTATTTACTTGTACAGAATATAACAGAGAATAAACTGCCCAAATACCCTTAAACAAAGGAAAAGTACGTCCTTTATGAAGGCATAGAGCCACTACATGAAAATGAAAATTAATGAATACACTGTGTACAGTAATTTACCTGATAAGACAGACCTGAGAAAAATACTTTATGAGAGCTTTTATACTTTTATAAAGCTGTCTATAATGAAAATTAATTAACTAAGGATTTTTTCGCCCTGCCAAGGTGTGGACCAGTTATCCGGAGTGCTAAGTTATCGAGGGACGAGTTTTCGAGGTTCTACTGTATTAAATATACATTATATGTTGTAAAATCAATCTCACTTATTTGTCATGAATAGGTGGTAAACAACTAGGTTTAATTTTGTAAATACAGTGGAACCCCGGTTAACGAACGTAATCTGTTCCACAAGTCCATTCGTTAACCGAATTGTTCATTAACCGAAGCAATTTTTCCCATAGAAATTAATGCAAATACAATTAATCCATTCTAGCTGTCAGTATTTTTGTAATTTTGTTTGTAAAATGGGTTTTTTTTTATTCTTTTCAAAAAAACGGGACAAACTTTTACATCAAACCAATATAATTTAATATCCACGTGTTAAAAGCGAAAACACTATTGTTAAGTCGGATCAAAGTTCAGGGAGAAGTAAGGAAAAAAACTGTACTGTAGTTGTCAAAACAAACGTGACGCGAAAACGAATGATGTAACGAATCAGGTGTATCAGGTGGAATGTCTGCAGGGAAGATGAAACTCTGACAGAAGTGGTCATAAACAGTTGATCTAGGTTAAATTTTCAGAAAAGGGGAACGATTTGACAGGTATAAAAACATCGCGTATGATCATTAAAGTTCTTAAATGACAGATAGCAGAAACAATAGACTAAATTATGAGCAAAAGGCTTATAGGTTTATCAACAATCTCTGATCAGAGTCGACGAACAGGTGTCAAATAAACGCCTTGGAACAAACCTTTCTCGTGACCTGATCTGGTTTCGGTTTTCACCTGGAGACAAAGAAGAAAACAATCAGGAAGCAAGGAATGGGATGCAGGACTAATCATAAGGTGAGATTCAAGGAAGAAATACTAGAATCTCAAGGTCAAAATGCAGTTTTCTTAAAATTCTATGGCGATTAATCTGTGTCATCTTCATCTGGATTAAGCCTGAAGTCGTGCCCGCTAAAATTTGTGTTGTCGCATGGATTGCTCCAGTCGTTGCAGCTCTGTCACCTACCATTGCTTCTGTGACCAAGTGATCCCATCTCGTCTGCTCTGGGCTACAACTGATCAGCTTGCACTATCTAAGACCAGCGATACGCCACTCCTCAGGGCCGGGAGAAAATACTGTAGATAAGCCATTTCCAACCATCTCAAATATGTAAGCATCTTCATGTTCTAATAAATGATTTTCACTGTGAAATACATGTCATCTTTGTCTCCTCCACCACCACCAACATATGAATGGACCCTAGACCATCACCGACACACGATTAACTGATTTTCCCTAAAAGTCGGCAAGCTTACAAATTTGACACAAAAAGCCGTTAAGTTCGTTATCCGGGACAAAATTTTTGCAAAATAAAAGTTTATTAACTGATTTGGTCGTTAACCAGGACGTTCGTTAACCGGGGTTCCACTGTATTGATAAAATTGTAGATCTGCTGATTTATATCTTCCTTACTTCACTTGCAATTATTTACCTAATTTGTTTTTTCATATATACAACTGATGTTTTTAAGAAATGTCAATCTGGTAGTAAATGAATATTTGTATCTAAACAATAAGTTTGCATTCTTTTCATTTCAGAATTATTAAATAATAAACAATAGCTCAGTTGATTTGGTGAAACAAGGCTCTTTTATCTCTTGTTAAGTTGTTTAATAGAAAATTAGACAAATTAGCTGTTTGGGTTATTTTTTTTAACAGTTTGTAGTCAATTGAATTGTAAAAAGATGCTAATTGAAAAAAATATATATTTAATGTTTTAAAATTCTTTTTATTATTCTTGTCATTTTCCACTTCTTTATAGTGCCATTAATATTTTCCTTGAAAAATATTTACTTCTTTCTTTTACTTGTAATTTCTTGTTGTTTATTTTATTGAAAATCTTTGATTGTTTTATATTCTATTCTCTTCTTGTCCGTGATAAAGTGATCTGATCATATGCTGAACTATGTATAAACTGAGAATCTGTAATTGTTTTCACAGTGGACTTCATCTGTACTTAATATCATTTTTTTCCCTTTAACATTTCAGACTCTCTCTCCAGATATGTATGTTTTTTCTTCTTCTAAGTGTATGTGTTTTTGCTTCTATGGTATTTATAAAAATTTTAAAAAATGTCATAAAGTTTGAATATAAAATTTTAAGATATTATTGTAATTGCTTTTTTTTTATTGCCCATGACAAAATTTTTTATGAGTCAATAATTCCATATTCTGGTAATGGTTATAAATAAAATTATATTAATTATAGTTTTATTCATAACTATTACAGTTTTATTATTAAATAAAATGAATTCTTCAAACATGTAAATATATTTTTACAATAGAAAAAGACATCTTAAGTAAAATTCTTTTTACAGGTGATTATTGTTATGTCCGAACTGAACATATAAAAAGTTTGATTGGAAGGATAGATAGGATGTGGGTGAATAAAGAGTAAGTTCAATTTTTGATATAATGCATGTTTTTAAAATATTTTGAAAAATAAAATTTTTTGTTTTTATTTAGAGGTGTTGCTTTCTTTCATGGACCGTGGTTTATTACTCCACAAGAAGTACATCACCCACCTACAAGACTTTTCTATAAACAAGAAGTGTTTCTGAGTTCCATTGAAGATACTAATCCATTACTAAGTGTCATTGCTCGTTGTGCTGTATTAGATTTAAAAGACTACATCACTCGTAAGCCTTAAAGTTTTAAATCACTTTGTTTAGATAAATTTAATTATTTAAATACTTTTTTCCAGAATGATTATATCAACTTAATTGAAATAATAATTACAATTGTATCTATGTAAAAGTCTTTAAGAGCTGAATACAAGAATTAATAAATTCTGTATTAGTATTAATTAAGTTGAATTTATTCTACAGATTTTACTCTATAGAATAAATTCAACTTTTTCACAAATTTAAAGAATAAATATTTGTTTTACAACCTACTTTGACTCAGCAGATAGCTAATAGCCAAATAGCTGAAAAACTAAAAACTAGCTATTTTTTTAAATCAAATTGCTCTTGAAATTTTTGATCATTAAACAAAGTTTATAAGATCTAACTTTTTTAAAATATTCTGTCAGGAATAGTGTTAACTTAGTTATTTAATTTTTTTAAAAGGCTAAAAAAACATCATGTTTTCTTAATGTAAAATTTTTAAAAAAATCATTATTTGAATTTTATGTATTCTTTCTTTACCTGTGGATGAAGTTTTGAAATGTCAAAAGTACTTGCATATATTTAATTCACTAAGTAAATAGAGTTGCAATGGTAAATATTGTAATTTTCTGATCCTCTTCCAGTTTGATCTTTCAATCTATTATGCATTCTACAGACAAATCATATATGAAAAAAGGGGATAGGGAGATAAGGGTCTGGCATTGCAAGTTATGTATTGTGATAATTGAAAAGTTGGGGGGTTTATAAAGCTCCATGATCTCATGAGATATGCAGTAATATATTGACATATTGAGTGACATTATTTAACAATATATAAACTGTAAATTATTTTGTAGGACGAGTTACTGAAATTCCAGAGCAAGATGTATACATTTGTGAATCTCGTTATTTGGAAGCAGAAAGACAAATCAGAAAACTCCCGAAAGGTTTAAAGGTTTGTAAATTGCTAAAAAAATTTTAGGAATAATTAATTTAATTTTGTATTTAAAATATATTACGCACATAAATTTATATAACCCATAATTATAATACAATTTAAAATTTTTCATTTTTATAAAGTTTATATATTTTCTTTGTAAATGAGAAAAGCATATAGTTATCAAAAAAATGTCAGTGGAGATTATCTGTATGAAATTACAGTCAAATGCTGATAGATAAACATTAAAAAAATTTAATTATTGTATTTATTTAGTTGTCTTAAAGTTTATAGTTAAATTAATATTTTAAAATATATTTGTGTTATTAATCAAATATTATAAATCATTCACAAATGAAAAACTTTCATTTTTAAATGTTTTTAATTATTTAATAACTAATTTTTTAATTAGCTGATTAATGATAAAAATGAATTTAAATAAGTATTGGTTATTGATAATTTAGCTGTCTTCTACATAGGCTGTTTTTTTCCAACCTCAGATGGTCCATAAAACAAAGACAACTGTAAATAACAAAATGAATTTATTACTAAAAGTTAGGTACAAATATGGTTATTTTTCGACATAATCATCATGAAGATTGAGGCATTTGTCATATCTGTGGATAAGCTTTTCAATCCCCTCTTCATAGAATGTTGCCACCAGTGACTTGAGATGGGCCTTAATGTTGTTTTGAAGATCATTATTAGTCTCGAACCTCTGCCCTCCTAGCCACGTTTTCAGTTCAGAAAAGAGGTGGAAGTTGCTTGGCCCTAAATCAGAGCTATATGCTAGGTGCTTAAAAAGTTTGAAGGTGGGTGGAAGTCTGAAAAATGGTAGTCTTCGCACCTTTAATGTGAGAAGACTTCCACCTATTTCCTGAACTGAAAACGTAGCTAGAAAGGCAAAGGTTCAAGACTAATGACAATCTTCAAAACAATGTTAAGGCCCATCTCAAGTCATTGGCGGCATGAAGAGGGGATTGAAAAGCTCGTCCAGAGACATGACAAATGCCTCAATCTTCATAGTGAAAAGTAAACCATATTTGTACCTACCTTTTGGTAATAAATTGATTTTGTTATTTACACTTGTGTTTGTTTTATGGATCATTGGAGGTTGGAAAAAACCACCCTTGTAGATTGTTCCCCTTTTTTCTTTTGTTCAGTGAGAATATCTATTTATAATAAATGATATTTTGACTTATTTTTTAGAATCTGCTTAATAATTTTTTAAATTTCACATTATTGCCAAAGTGTAGTGATATTTTAATGAAATGTATTTACACAATAAAAATGCTTGAATTTTAATTCTGTTTTCATAAAAACCACTAAATTTTTTGTATAAGTTTAATGATAAAATAATTGGTTACTTTTTCAAAAACATTTACATGTTAAACAGAATATAAACAAAACTGCAACTATGAAATGTTTATATAAATCTTATCCTTATGATATATTTAGTGTTCACTATTATGGTAATATATTATCACCAAACAATAATAAAAACTTGATTTTTTTTTTTTTTATAAATCTGAAATGTCTGAATGCTGCACTGGTTAGTTTGTTTTTGTTAAAGTATTCTTTAAAAGCAGAAAAATTATCTATAAACACTAATTATAAAGTTAAATATGTTTATATAAAGTTTAAGTAGCTACTTAAACATTTATTGATTAATTGATAAAGCAAGTGCTAAACTTTGTTAGTTTTTTCTTGGATTATAAACTAGGTTTTATCAATAATGATTACTGATGAACATTTTTTTGAAATATGTCATAATTAGATATGAAATTTAATTTAATATGTATCCTGAAATGGAATAATCCATAATGGAAGATTTCTAAGAGAGAAAGAATGAGAGCAAGAAAGAAAGAAAAGCAAATATGTAATTGATTGAAGATTATGGGAATAAAGTCAATCAATGAAAACTGGGTTAGTACTCCAATAAAATAAAAGAAACAACACCATTATCCAGCAAAAGTAATAAACTATTTGCAGTAAAATTTATTATTTTTGCTGGATGTTGTTGTTGTTGTTATTATTATATTGGATTACAGGATTTTTTTCCATTTACAATATATGAGCCATTGATTTTGAAAGTGAGGCAAGTTCTTTTTGTGTAAAGCTAATTCTTATTACAAATTAACATAAAATTTGTTTTTAATCAATTCACAATATCTTTTAATATCAGTATAAATTTGTTACTAGTAATTTATATAGTCCACAATATTTACAGTGAGTTGATTTTGAAAGTGAGGCAAGTCCACTCTAAAGAAAAATATAAAGATATGATGGATTTATTACCCTATGTACCACCCATTTATCGTGAATACTTTAAAAATCTGCACCATCTAAACTAAGAAATATAATTACAGTAGAGCGTCGTTTATCTGAATCAATTGGGGACTGGGGTTGTTCGGATAACTTATTTTTCGGATAACCGATTATGTATGAAAAAATATATTAATCTATCCCATGTTGAAATTTTTCTCCATTGCGTGTCGCTTCGCGTTGAATTTTCGTTGATGTTAAGCCTAACGTAAACTTTTCAAAATAATAATCGTGGCTATTGTATCATTAAAAATTATTTCTTTATTTTGTACAAACAAAATAAATATATTTAAAAATATAATAACCAAAAAAAAAATATACTTTAGAAGTTGATCTAGTGTCAAAAACGTTCGATTCAGCATGACACACAGTCCTCATAAATACACCATACAAAAGTGTCAGTGCTGTTAGCTAAAACACACATCAAGAAAAAAAATATTGGAGTAGCCCAACATATAGCCAAAGATTGCAGCGCCACAGCACTAGCGAAAATTTAAATTTGCCGACTGGAATTCTTTCGGATATACGACGTTCTACTGTATATGCATGCAACATGCAAGTATAATTATTACTAAATATTTTTTATTATTATTATTTTCTCCACTTTTTCCTATAAAATTAAATTTATTTTTTGTTTCATTGTAGCTTTTCGAAAAAAGTATGAAATGTTGAAATAAAATAAATAAGTAATTAAATAAAATATTAAATTTTTTGTTATTATAACTATATTCTATTCAAAGAAAAGCAACATTTTCAATAAATCATTGCTTTTGAAAGTGAGGCCAAGTCCATTGGTGCATACCAAAACCGTAATTTTTTAACCTAACGCAGATAACCATTATTGCATATTAAATTTACATGAAATAAAACCAAAAAAATATAAAATAAGTCTATTACCACTTATGAATATTTTTAAACTCATTCAAATGCAAACAGTTAAATATCCAGCAATAACATAAAATGGACTTGCCCCACTTTCAAAATCAACAGCTCATATAGAAGTTACAAAAGCTGTTTAAAAAATTTTTTTCTCATAGTTAATAAAAAAAATGTGTTATGAGAAATTTCTTTAACATTACAACTTCTATACATAACCAATTGTAAGGCCCGATGGCATCAGGCCTTACAAGGCATCAGGGCATACTAAATAGTTAGCATGCATAGTAATGATAAATAATTAATTACAAATGGTTTACCTAAAGTGCAGATGTTTGGCAGAACACTGTTGAAAGCGAACTGCCCATAAGTATCATTGTCATGTACTAAAACCAACAGCTGTACATCCAATTCTCATGAAATAACTTTCAAAATACCAATAAGATACTACATATTTCTGTTATGATTGCAAAGAAATACCATAATATTCCATCTTCAGTTCAAAACATAAAAATGAAACGAAAAAGCATAACCATCATTGTCATGCACTATGACCTACATCACTATATCCAATTCCTTTTAAATAACACAGCAAGCAGCATGCATGCTGAATACCATCAAAAAGAGTCAAGCACAGACTCTGGCAATTCCTAGGTTTGCCACTATGCTTTGCTGGCACTTGATATGCCGACAGAGATTGGCCATTTTTTCAGTTTTATATAGTAGATAGATAAAAATAATAATAATGAATTCCTATTACTAATAAAAATAATAATATACTGAATATTACTGTAACAATATAAATATATATATATATATTATTGTGGAACAAATGAGGAGGAAAAATTTTACCAAGAACTAAATAAAGTGAAGATAAACAAATGAAAAATAACTTAGAAGAACTAGTTGGTTACATTGTTTGAATTGTAGAGACACATTGAATAGAGATTGCCATATGAAAAGTCATGGAACAGAATGGTTCATGAATACTAATTCTATTTGAACAATTTTTTTATAAAAGTTGATGTGGCTCCTGCTGAACAAAAGTCTGAGTTACAAAAATTTTACTTCATAGCAATATAAAGTACCTTTTACTTAAAGCTCTTTCACCAACTGTGTTTAAATCTAACCAATAGTTCAACTATCAATTTAGAGCAATTTATTATGGTATTCTCATACATTAATGATAAATCAACTGGCTTATTAATTTAACTAATTAGAGCTAATGATTTAAAAGACTCCTAATTAGCAAAATAGTATTGTTTCTAATGTTGTTTTAGTAATGAAATGATTTGATTCAGTTTAAATGTACAGTATTACTTTGTAAAAATAAATACAGTAGAACCTCGAAAACTCGACCTAATGTGGACCGAAGGGTGGCCGAGTTTGTGAAAATGCCGAGTTATCGGGAATGGGGTTAAAAAAAATAAGTACGAGTATTTCCTCAGAAAATACTGTACTGTACTTGTACAGTATTTACTTGTACAGAATATAACAGAGAATAAACTGCCCAAATACCCTTAAACAAAGGAAAAGTACGTCCTTTATGAAGGCATAGAGCCACTACATGAAAATGAAAATTAATGAATACACTGTGTACAGTAATTTACCTGATAAGACAGACCTCAGAAAAATACTTTATGAGAGCTTTTATACTTTTATAAAGCTGTCTATAATGAAAATTAATTAACTAAGGATTTTTTCGCCCTGCCAAGGTGTGGACCAGTTATCCGGAGTGCTAAGTTATCGAGGGACGAGTTTTCGAGGTTCTACTGTATTAAATATACATTATATGTTGTAAAATCAATCTCACTTATTTGTCATGAATAGGTGGTAAACAACTAGGTTTAATTTTGTAAATACAGTGGAACCCCGGTTAACGAACGTAATCTGTTCCACAAGTCCATTCGTTAACCGAATTGTTCATTAACCGAAGCAATTTTTCCCATAGAAATTAATGCAAATACAATTAATCCATTCTAGCTGTCAGTATTTTTGTAATTTTGTTTGTAAAATGGGTTTTTTTTTATTCTTTTCAAAAAAACGGGACAAACTTTTACATCAAACCAATATAATTTAATATCCACGTGTTAAAAGCGAAAACACTATTGTTAAGTCGGATCAAAGTTCAGGGAGAAGTAAGGAAAAAAACTGTACTGTAGTTGTCAAAACAAACGTGACGCGAAAACGAATGATGTAACGAATCAGGTGTATCAGGTGGAATGTCTGCAGGGAAGATGAAACTCTGACAGAAGTGGTCATAAACAGTTGATCTAGGTTAAATTTTCAGAAAAGGGGAACGATTTGACAGGTATAAAAACATCGCGTATGATCATTAAAGTTCTTAAATGACAGATAGCAGAAACAATAGACTAAATTATGAGCAAAAGGCTTATAGGTTTATCAACAATCTCTGATCAGAGTCGACGAACAGGTGTCAAATAAACGCCTTGGAACAAACCTTTCTCGTGACCTGATCTGGTTTCGGTTTTCACCTGGAGACAAAGAAGAAAACAATCAGGAAGCAAGGAATGGGATGCAGGACTAATCATAAGGTGAGATTCAAGGAAGAAATACTAGAATCTCAAGGTCAAAATGCAGTTTTCTTAAAATTCTATGGCGATTAATCTGTGTCATCTTCATCTGGATTAAGCCTGAAGTCGTGCCCGCTAAAATTTGTGTTGTCGCATGGATTGCTCCAGTCGTTGCAGCTCTGTCACCTACCATTGCTTCTGTGATCAAGTGATCCCATCTCGTCTGCTCTGGGCTACAACTGATCAGCTTGCACTATCTAAGACCAGCGATACGCCACTCCTCAGGGCCGGGAGAAAATACTGTAGATAAGCCATTTCCAACCATCTCAAATATGTAAGCATCTTCATGTTCTAATAAATGATTTTCACTGTGAAATACATGTCATCTTTGTCTCCTCCACCACCACCAACATATGAATGGACCCTAGACCATCACCGACACACGATTAACTGATTTTCCCTAAAAGTCGGCAAGCTTACAAATTTGACACAAAAAGCCGTTAAGTTCGTTATCCGGGACAAAATTTTTGCAAAATAAAAGTTTATTAACTGATTTGGTCGTTAACCAGGACGTTCGTTAACCGGGGTTCCACTGTATTGATAAAATTGTAGATCTGCTGATTTATATCTTCCTTACTTCACTTGCAATTATTTACCTAATTTGTTTTTTCATATATACAACTGATGTTTTTAAGAAATGTCAATCTGGTAGTAAATGAATATTTGTATCTAAACAATAAGTTTGCATTCTTTTCATTTCAGAATTATTAAATAATAAACAATAGCTCAGTTGATTTGGTGAAACAAGGCTCTTTTATCTCTTGTTAAGTTGTTTAATAGAAAATTAGACAAATTAGCTGTTTGGGTTATTTTTTTTAACAGTTTGTAGTCAATTGAATTGTAAAAAGATGCTAATTGAAAAAAATATATATTTAATGTTTTAAAATTCTTTTTATTATTCTTGTCATTTTCCACTTCTTTATAGTGCCATTAATATTTTCCTTGAAAAATATTTACTTCTTTCTTTTACTTGTAATTTCTTGTTGTTTATTTTATTGAAAATCTTTGATTGTTTTATATTCTATTCTCTTCTTGTCCGTGATAAAGTGATCTGATCATATGCTGAACTATGTATAAACTGAGAATCTGTAATTGTTTTCACAGTGGACTTCATCTGTACTTAATATCATTTTTTTCCCTTTAACATTTCAGACTCTCTCTCCAGATATGTATGTTTTTTCTTCTTCTAAGTGTATGTGTTTTTGCTTCTATGGTATTTATAAAAATTTTAAAAAATGTCATAAAGTTTGAATATAAAATTTTAAGATATTATTGTAATTGCTTTTTTTTTATTGCCCATGACAAAATTTTTTATGAGTCAATAATTCCATATTCTGGTAATGGTTATAAATAAAATTATATTAATTATAGTTTTATTCATAACTATTACAGTTTTATTATTAAATAAAATGAATTCTTCAAACATGTAAATATATTTTTACAATAGAAAAAGACATCTTAAGTAAAATTCTTTTTACAGGTGATTATTGTTATGTCCGAACTGAACATATAAAAAGTTTGATTGGAAGGATAGATAGGATGTGGGTGAATAAAGAGTAAGTTCAATTTTTGATATAATGCATGTTTTTAAAATATTTTGAAAAATAAAATTTTTTGTTTTTATTTAGAGGTGTTGCTTTCTTTCATGGACCGTGGTTTATTACTCCACAAGAAGTACATCACCCACCTACAAGACTTTTCTATAAACAAGAAGTGTTTCTGAGTTCCATTGAAGATACTAATCCATTACTAAGTGTCATTGCTCGTTGTGCTGTATTAGATTTAAAAGACTACATCACTCGTAAGCCTTAAAGTTTTAAATCACTTTGTTTAGATAAATTTAATTATTTAAATACTTTTTTCCAGAATGATTATATCAACTTAATTGAAATAATAATTACAATTGTATCTATGTAAAAGTCTTTAAGAGCTGAATACAAGAATTAATAAATTCTGTATTAGTATTAATTAAGTTGAATTTATTCTACAGATTTTACTCTATAGAATAAATTCAACTTTTTCACAAATTTAAAGAATAAATATTTGTTTTACAACCTACTTTGACTCAGCAGATAGCTAATAGCCAAATAGCTGAAAAACTAAAAACTAGCTATTTTTTTAAATCAAATTGCTCTTGAAATTTTTGATCATTAAACAAAGTTTATAAGATCTAACTTTTTTAAAATATTCTGTCAGGAATAGTGTTAACTTAGTTATTTAATTTTTTTAAAAGGCTAAAAAAACATCATGTTTTCTTAATGTAAAATTTTTAAAAAAATCATTATTTGAATTTTATGTATTCTTTCTTTACCTGTGGATGAAGTTTTGAAATGTCAAAAGTACTTGCATATATTTAATTCACTAAGTAAATAGAGTTGCAATGGTAAATATTGTAATTTTCTGATCCTCTTCCAGTTTGATCTTTCAATCTATTATGCATTCTACAGACAAATCATATATGAAAAAAGGGGATAGGGAGATAAGGGTCTGGCATTGCAAGTTATGTATTGTGATAATTGAAAAGTTGGGGGGTTTATAAAGCTCCATGATCTCATGAGATATGCAGTAATATATTGACATATTGAGTGACATTATTTAACAATATATAAACTGTAAATTATTTTGTAGGACGAGTTACTGAAATTCCAGAGCAAGATGTATACATTTGTGAATCTCGTTATTTGGAAGCAGAAAGACAAATCAGAAAACTCCCGAAAGGTTTAAAGGTTTGTAAATTGCTAAAAAAATTTTAGGAATAATTAATTTAATTTTGTATTTAAAATATATTACGCACATAAATTTATATAACCCATAATTATAATACAATTTAAAATTTTTCATTTTTATAAAGTTTATATATTTTCTTTGTAAATGAGAAAAGCATATAGTTATCAAAAAAATGTCAGTGGAGATTATCTGTATGAAATTACAGTCAAATGCTGATAGATAAACATTAAAAAAATTTAATTATTGTATTTATTTAGTTGTCTTAAAGTTTATAGTTAAATTAATATTTTAAAATATATTTGTGTTATTAATCAAATATTATAAATCATTCACAAATGAAAAACTTTCATTTTTAAATGTTTTTAATTATTTAATAACTAATTTTTTAATTAGCTGATTAATGATAAAAATGAATTTAAATAAGTATTGGTTATTGATAATTTAGCTGTCTTCTACATAGGCTGTTTTTTTCCAACCTCAGATGGTCCATAAAACAAAGACAACTGTAAATAACAAAATGAATTTATTACTAAAAGTTAGGTACAAATATGGTTATTTTTCGACATAATCATCATGAAGATTGAGGCATTTGTCATATCTGTGGATAAGCTTTTCAATCCCCTCTTCATAGAATGTTGCCACCAGTGACTTGAGATGGGCCTTAATGTTGTTTTGAAGATCATTATTAGTCTCGAACCTCTGCCCTCCTAGCCACGTTTTCAGTTCAGAAAAGAGGTGGAAGTTGCTTGGCCCTAAATCAGAGCTATATGCTAGGTGCTTAAAAAGTTTGAAGGTGGGTGGAAGTCTGAAAAATGGTAGTCTTCGCACCTTTAATGTGAGAAGACTTCCACCTATTTCCTGAACTGAAAACGTAGCTAGAAAGGCAAAGGTTCAAGACTAATGACAATCTTCAAAACAATGTTAAGGCCCATCTCAAGTCATTGGCGGCATGAAGAGGGGATTGAAAAGCTCGTCCAGAGACATGACAAATGCCTCAATCTTCATAGTGAAAAGTAAACCATATTTGTACCTACCTTTTGGTAATAAATTGATTTTGTTATTTACACTTGTGTTTGTTTTATGGATCATTGGAGGTTGGAAAAAACCACCCTTGTAGATTGTTCCCCTTTTTTCTTTTGTTCAGTGAGAATATCTATTTATAATAAATGATATTTTGACTTATTTTTTAGAATCTGCTTAATAATTTTTTAAATTTCACATTATTGCCAAAGTGTAGTGATATTTTAATGAAATGTATTTACACAATAAAAATGCTTGAATTTTAATTCTGTTTTCATAAAAACCACTAAATTTTTTGTATAAGTTTAATGATAAAATAATTGGTTACTTTTTCAAAAACATTTACATGTTAAACAGAATATAAACAAAACTGCAACTATGAAATGTTTATATAAATCTTATCCTTATGATATATTTAGTGTTCACTATTATGGTAATATATTATCACCAAACAATAATAAAAACTTGATTTTTTTTTTTTTTATAAATCTGAAATGTCTGAATGCTGCACTGGTTAGTTTGTTTTTGTTAAAGTATTCTTTAAAAGCAGAAAAATTATCTATAAACACTAATTATAAAGTTAAATATGTTTATATAAAGTTTAAGTAGCTACTTAAACATTTATTGATTAATTGATAAAGCAAGTGCTAAACTTTGTTAGTTTTTTCTTGGATTATAAACTAGGTTTTATCAATAATGATTACTGATGAACATTTTTTTGAAATATGTCATAATTAGATATGAAATTTAATTTAATATGTATCCTGAAATGGAATAATCCATAATGGAAGATTTCTAAGAGAGAAAGAATGAGAGCAAGAAAGAAAGAAAAGCAAATATGTAATTGATTGAAGATTATGGGAATAAAGTCAATCAATGAAAACTGGGTTAGTACTCCAATAAAATAAAAGAAACAACACCATTATCCAGCAAAAGTAATAAACTATTTGCAGTAAAATTTATTATTTTTGCTGGATGTTGTTGTTGTTGTTATTATTATATTGGATTACAGGATTTTTTTCCATTTACAATATATGAGCCATTGATTTTGAAAGTGAGGCAAGTTCTTTTTGTGTAAAGCTAATTCTTATTACAAATTAACATAAAATTTGTTTTTAATCAATTCACAATATCTTTTAATATCAGTATAAATTTGTTACTAGTAATTTATATAGTCCACAATATTTACAGTGAGTTGATTTTGAAAGTGAGGCAAGTCCACTCTAAAGAAAAATATAAAGATATGATGATTTATTACCCTATGTACCACCCATTTATCGTGAATACTTTAAAAATCTGCACCATCTAAACTAAGAAATATAATTACAGTAGAGCGTCGTTTATCTGAATCAATTGGGGACTGGGGTTGTTCGGATAACTTATTTTTCGGATAACCGATTATGTATGAAAAAATATATTAATCTATCCCATGTTGAAATTTTTCTCCATTGCGTGTCGCTTCACGTTGAATTTTCGTTGATGTTAAGCCTAACGTAAACTTTTCAAAATAATAATCGTGGCTATTGTATCATTAAAAATTATTTCTTTATTTTGTACAAACAAAATAAATATATTTAAAAATATAATAACCAAAAAAAAAATATACTTTAGAAGTTGATCTAGTGTCAAAAACGTTCGATTCAGCATGACACACAGTCCTCATAAATACACCATACAAAAGTGTCAGTGCTGTTAGCTAAAACACACATCAAGAAAAAAAATATTGGAGTAGCCCAACATATAGCCAAAGATTGCAGCGCCACAGCACTAGCGAAAATTTAAATTTGCCGACTGGAATTCTTTCGGATATACGACGTTCTACTGTATATGCATGCAACATGCAAGTATAATTATTACTAAATATTTTTTATTATTATTATTTTCTCCACTTTTTCCTATAAAATTAAATTTATTTTTTGTTTCATTGTAGCTTTTCGAAAAAAGTATGAAATGTTGAAATAAAATAAATAAGTAATTAAATAAAATATTAAATTTTTTGTTATTATAACTATATTCTATTCAAAGAAAAGCAACATTTTCAATAAATCATTGCTTTTGAAAGTGAGGCCAAGTCCATTGGTGCATACCAAAACCGTAATTTTTTAACCTAACGCAGATAACCATTATTGCATATTAAATTTACATGAAATAAAACCAAAAAAATATAAAATAAGTCTATTACCACTTATGAATATTTTTAAACTCATTCAAATGCAAACAGTTAAATATCCAGCAATAACATAAAATGGACTTGCCCCACTTTCAAAATCAACAGCTCATATAGAAGTTACAAAAGCTGTTTAAAAAATTTTTTTCTCATAGTTAATAAAAAAAATGTGTTATGAGAAATTTCTTTAACATTACAACTTCTATACATAACCAATTGTAAGGCCCGATGGCATCAGGCCTTACAAGGCATCAGGGCATACTAAATAGTTAGCATGCATAGTAATGATAAATAATTAATTACAAATGGTTTACCTAAAGTGCAGATGTTTGGCAGAACACTGTTGAAAGCGAACTGCCCATAAGTATCATTGTCATGTACTAAAACCAACAGCTGTACATCCAATTCTCATGAAATAACTTTCAAAATACCAATAAGATACTACATATTTCTGTTATGATTGCAAAGAAATACCATAATATTCCATCTTCAGTTCAAAACATAAAAATGAAACGAAAAAGCATAACCATCATTGTCATGCACTATGACCTACATCACTATATCCAATTCCTTTTAAATAACACAGCAAGCAGCATGCATGCTGAATACCATCAAAAAGAGTCAAGCACAGACTCTGGCAATTCCTAGGTTTTCCTCTATGCTTTGCTGGCACTCAATACGCCGACAGAGACTGGCCATTTTTTCAGTTTATATAGTAGATAGATAAAAATAATAATAATGAATTCCTATTACAAAAAAAATAATAATATACTGAATTATACTGTAACAATATAAAATATAATAATTTATATTGTTAATTTAAATAATAGCTAGGGCTGCCCCCAGTGGTTGTTTTTGACATACTGTGACAAAGATTGCACAGTTTTTCAGTTTTACATAGTAGATTCTATTTTTAGTTTTATGTTTATTTTGAGGTTTTTCTTATAATTACTTAATATTTTTAATTTGCAAATTTAATTGTTAGATAAAAAATTTTTTTTATGAAAATGTTTTTGAGTTTATTTTATTCTTATTTCTGAATTTGTTACAGTCAATTAAAGTAATAGAAAAAAAACATTCAAATGTTTTATTGGAGTTAGAAACATTTAAATATATATACAGAAAGCCATTTTGAGTGCCTTTAAATTCAGTTGAAAGCATAATCAAGTTGAAAATAGGAAACATTGTTCAAATTCATAAAATGTTCGCATTATTATAATTATATTAATAGCCATTTGTTCACCTCATACTGTAAAAGTGTTAGCATAACTTTCTTCAGTTTTTAATTCTGAATTAACTGTGGCATAACTGTGGAATTAAATGTGACATAGATGAAGGCATTGGCCTTTATGTCACATTTGTACTTGAAAATTGCTAGTTTCAATAGTTGTAATGACAATAGTTTTCATATTGTCATTACAGAAAAATTTTGTTTTTTATAAAAGTTATTAATTCTATTTAATAATTGAAAATTAATTTATAAATTAAACATTTACCAAGAATTATTTAATAATAGAATTTTAACTTATAAATATTGTAATATAATTTTTTGTGTGAAATTAGTCATATCAATAATATAGTTTTATAAGTTACATGATTATACACATAAATATTGTATAAAATGAAATATATGCTTTCACCTATAACTGTTCTATAAAAGAAAACTGTTTACCTACCAGCATATGGCATTTAATCTTGTCCAGTGTTTCTCAACTGATAAGTGAATTGTGTTAAATGATTAGAAGAATTATTACTAGAATAATACAACCATTCTAGCCCTTTTATGTAGCAAATAAAGTATAAATTTAATTCACTTAATAATACACTAAATATTAAAACATTTAAGTAAATTGAATTTAAATAAAAATTCCTATTTTAATTTTGAGAAGGAAGTTCCAAAATTTGCAACAGTTTCTAATATATTTTTCACAGAAGGCCTAGATACACTGGTCTAATCTGTGTCAAATGTCTTTTTGTCTTTTAAAATAAATTTATTTATTTAATAAGTCATAAATTTCAGCTTTTCATTCATTTTTAAGACTTAATTAGTTAATGCATAATTAAATATATTTTATATTGAATAATTTGTTTTGTATTTCTTTAACTTCTGCTTTTTTTAAATTGTAAATTTAAAATATAGTATTAAATTGTTTTTTTTTAAATTGTAAATTTTAAAATATAGTATTAAAATTAATATATTTTGTTTGATTAATAAATTTTTGTAACCACTTCATGCTTGCTGAGAAATATTTAATTATCATCATCACAAACATTTTCAATCCAAATTTTATAAGTCATCTTCAGGTGTAATAATTTATCCAAATGTTTTTTAAATGAAACATTTGAACACACATAATTTAAACATATAAATTTAAAATACAGAATACAAAAACATAAAATGTAATAAATAAAACATAAATAAGTAACAAATGAACTAAATAAATATATAATAATATTAACAAGAATTAATATTATTATATATTTACTTAGTTTGTTTGCTACTTATATATATTATATGTCTGTTTAGTATTTTAGATAATTAACATACTCACTTAATGTAAACATACCCAGATAAATGAAACATATGTTCTTTCATTTAAAATAAATCAATAACAAATATTTTATATTTACACTAGATTACTATGTATTGATTATTATATGAAAACAAATTTAAATTGAGAAATTATAACTTTCTGTAATTAAATAAATAGAAAAACATTAAATGTGTAATTGTGTTTTAGCTCTTAATTGCTTTATTTGATTTTTTAAATAGTGGTACATAAATATATACCATATTGAAACCAAAATTTGCAATAGGAATTTTTTTATTTTTTATAAAAATATTATTAAATAAAGTTTTTCTAATAACATCTATTAGCTAATTTATTATAGTCTATTGATTAAAAAATTATTTCAGTTTTAAAATGTAACAGGTAATTATTAAAAATTTATAATAGTATATTGCATTTTATTATGAATGAGAAAATCTAGCACCTAAAATAAACCTGAATTTATTCAGATACAAAGTTAATTTTTATGATTTATTAAATAAATTTGGATAAATGGTAAAAGAACATTCTACTTTAATAAGACTTAAAAGTAGAACAGTTTAATAAATTACAATAATTTTAATTAAGTATAAGTTATAAACATAAATTATAATTTGTAAATTAAAATTAAAACTGTAATTATCTTGAATTATTTTAATTATTATGCCAAATTTTGTGTTATAAAACATTTGTCAGATTTAAAAATAAAGTTAAAAATGTATTATTTTCATAGCTACTATCTTAATCTTGTTAAATTCATTTTAGAATTAATATATTCTTTAAATTATGAGGGATTACATTTACTATTCATTAAACATAATATAAATATAAATCAAATGATTAAAAATAGAAACTGCAGTTTTAGTTTTCCTTCTCTGTATTTGAAATTAAATTTTCAAACAAAAATAAATAATTTTAAGACAAATTATGATAATATTGTACATGTTGTTTCTATTTTTTGGAACAACAACTTTATTTTCCTTTGCAGAAATTTAATCTTAGTCATGGTGTGACAGATGATGAATATTATTATTTTAGAAAGCCAGTTAATCCACAAAAGGTAATAGATTTTTATATTTTTCAAGAATTTTAGATTAATTAAATTAATTTTTTAAAATTAAAACAAGTAGTCAAAATAGTTTTTGATTATTTGTTTTATTATTTCTATAAAATTAAATATATTATGCAATATAATTTATTTTTAAATATATTAAAAAAGTAATAATTGACCTCTTAAGTAATTATTTAGATAATAATTTTAATAAATATATTTAATCTTAAAAATTATGTTTGATACCATTGTATTATGTCTTTTAGTATATAAAATAATATTTAAAAAATGTATTATTTCAAGTTGGTTAATAATTTAAATTAAAGAAAGAAAGAAAATTTTTTTTTAATTGAGGAAAACTGGAAATTATAGTTTTACATTTTAAATATTTTAATTTGATTCTATTTGATGTTTTTAATAATTATAGAAAAATTAAGCTTCAAAATACAAGTACAAGTAAAAATCTTTACCATATATAGTAATAGAATATCTCATGATATTTTCAGTTTTTTATTTTATTTAAATTTTATTAAAATATATTCATCACAACTCATCAAAATCAGATTGAAAATTTTAATTGGTTGATGAGTTTTAAAATAGTACTTATGCTTTTCTCAAATGTTTATATAAGTTTATTTATCATTATATTATAAAAACAGTCAATAAAAAAATTTTGCAAGATAGTCATCACAAAATTAGCAATAATATTTTATTCATATTACATATCATTGCTTATTACTGTTTCATGAATGAATGATAAACTGTAGAAAGAAAATATGAAGGCAGAATATAACAGACATAAATTACAATATGAATGATTTTAATAGTTTTTATATTATTACAAACAATAGATAATTTTATGATGATTAATTAAAAATTCTAATTTTAATATCAACAACTTTCTAATTATTTGTTGAAGTTCCTTTAAGTTTACAAGCTTAAATAATGTGATTCCCTCTTATTCTGAAATTCTTAAGATTAATTGATGTTAGTTCATCACTTAAGCCTGTAAGCTTGGGGACTCTGATCAAGCAGTTAGGGAGCTGTTTATAGATAATTTAATCTGGCTAAATAGAATAGTTAACATTTTTCTTATTTATATAAGGTGTCTATAATTAAAATGAACCACTTTAGACCACTCTTAAGACAAAACTGTTAGAGGTAGAAGGATAAAATTTTACAGGCAATTTAACTCAACATAAGAAACTGTGACAGAGTTTTAAAACTAGTTACAATCTTTGCCATTAGGGTCTGTAATAACAGCACTGTTGCAGCAGCAGCATCATAACAGCAGTGCTATAAAGACATGCTGCAAACTTCTGTTATTTCTAAAATTCAATAGAAATGATGTTTGAGTAATATCACATTTATGCAAGATAGTGCATAAATGTGATATTTTGTATAAATAAATGTGACCCCATGGTGCAGTCTTTATAAAAGAGGTACTGTCTTGCACATTTGGTAATGAAAAGATGGTCAGTCAATCTTTTTCAATCCAATGGCGTACTCATTCACCTGATCTCACTGTTTGTGACTTCTGGTTATGGAACTATTCAAAAAGCAGGGTTTATACAGGTGGAGTTGTGGAATTATGATAACCAAAGAGGTGAATTGAGAGGGAAGTGAGTCACATTATTCTTAACATGCTGCACTTGGCTATTGTTAATCTTACTATAACTAGATTGCAATATTTGACTGAGCGTGCTGGAAAGTATGTTGAACAGTTTTTTTATGCTGCTGTAACAATAGCACCATTATAGATCCCTAGCAGCAAAAATTATAACTAGTTCTGAAACTCTGACTATAGTTTTTTCTGTGTTGAGATATACATGTCTACAAAATTTTATCAATCTATCTCTAACAGTTCTGTCTCTAGAGTAGCTTAAAGTGGTATACTTTAACTATAGACACCCTGTAGTCCTTGATAAAAATTAGTATGGTTTTCATATTAATGAAAATTAATAAGAAAGCTCTTTTTATTAATCTTGCAATGACCAGTTTACTTAAATCTGTTATTTTATTAGATTAAAAACATAAAAGTACTTTGCACAAGGGTTTATAAAAAACTTTATTAAAATTAATTATGCCAGTACTGTAGTTTCTGCAATTACTAATTTTGTCATTAGACAGAAAATACAATTAGTTTACTATATTTTATGGTATATAACCAGGGTGGCCAAGCTCCTTGATAGTCCGAGCCATTTTTCAAAATTTGAAGTTTTTTGCGAGCCGCAATTAAATACGTATTAAAAAGGTATGCAAAAAATTCCAGATTACAAAGTATATCTGTAGCAAGAGTGATACAAATTGTTTCCTCCAGAGCACAATGTCAACTGCCCATTGCAATGACAGTTTACAAATTCAAAATCAGTCTGGAGTCGGACGATTACGCCACTGTTTATGTTTGTTCACGCAGTTTTCGATGAGTCATATCATTCTTAACTTGGACGGAAATGAAATTTGTTACAACATTGCACTTAGTCTTTTATATTTGTTGTTAGTAATTTAAAAGACATTTTGAAACACATACAGAACGATAATAATTTTTTAAAATATAATAACACAAAAATGAAAAGGAAACTCGGGTACATTTATTGAGAGCCACAAATAATCGTTCAAAGAGCTGCATGTGGCTCACGAGCCACAGGTTGGCCACCCCTGGTATATAAGATGTGACTTTTGTCCAAAAATAGGCTGAAAAAATTGCCCTGATTCTTATATTGTATGTGAAGTTGCAGTCTCTCATAGGGTAATGAATTCCCCTACACAGTCGATTCCACTTAATTGGGACATGTTGGGAATAATTCCTTTTGCCCCAATTAAATGAAATAATAATAAATTCTAAAATAAAATATGTAATACGTAGGTAATAAGTAAATAAAATAAAATATGTAATAAGTAGGTAAAAAATAATAGTTAGGTACCTATTTTAATGCTTTATTAAACCAAAATATACAAAATATTTGTAATATAAATTTGCCAGACTCACAATGATAGATAACTGATTTGAATCACGCTAGTGTTGCCAAATATAGTATTAGTAGTGATGTACACAAGAGTTAACCATTTGATTCATTCCTGATTGAACAATTTTTCCTTTTTCCCTTTTTAGTTTGAACTTGTTCTAACTAAAAAGGGAGAAAGGAAAGGGTTCATCGAAAAGTCACCTTGCGGTCTTTCTTTTAGCACAGTGCCCTTTACTTGGAAATGGGCCACTTTGGCAGGAGCATCCATAGAATCCACTAGCTCTGGATGCTGGTCTCAACAATCGAATGGCTGCTGTCCTAATCTAGACGTAATTATGCACACAATACCTTCCAAGGAAACTCTAGCTGTCTTCTAACTCAGTTGTGAGACCTCGAAAAATTGTCCAGAGATCTTTGTCCCCTCGCTTTTAAGGAGATCATCTGGTCCAATCCAGAGCAGGGTCAGTACCTTGCATTCAGGCCCACCTCAGACGGGATTCCCATGTGATACATTTTGCTATGCTGACCCCCTCTGGAAAATCTGAACTGCCCAAGCGAAAGACAAAATTGCTTTGTCTCTGCCAACTGTTAGGCCTACATGACATTAGTGTACGTAGTGTCTACATATTTTCGGAAGATCTCTAAAATATATAAAAAATTGAGTAAATTCCTTTTCTGCTACTGTCCCAATTAAGTGATTAATTTGTGTATTAATTTATTAGTTGGTTTCTGTTCTTTGAGATTTGGCCCAATGAAGCAGCTGCCCCGATTAACCAGTGGACTAATTAAATGGAATTGACTGTATTTAGGATACAGTCTTCAGTAGGATATAGGTAACCTCTACATAGCCCAACTTTTGGATAAAAATGTTGCTGTTTAATTAATCATATTATTATTATTTGATGTAACTAAGCAGCTTTTGCAGGTTATTGTGTTGAATATTTTAAATGATAAATTTTAATTGTAAATGACTTCTTTTTCCTGGTAAATGAAAGTGTACATTTTAATTTTACTTTTTTTTTAAACCAGAATACAGTAAAAAAACATTTTAGGCACAAGATGTTTAAATTACAGTAAATACTATTCTTATATATTTTATGCGGGTATGTCTCTTACATGCCATAAAATACATTAATTAATAAAGACTCTTAAGATTCCTTCCAGCATAAGCTATTAAGTTCTATTTCCTATTTGATCAATTCAATATAGCAGTTTTGTAATTGGTTTATATACACTAAAGATAATATTTATGTGAATTTTAAATTTATAATCTGTATCAATTTATCATTAAATAAAATTGTTTATGAATTAAGTAATTTCTTATTGATGGTTTTAATAACCATTGATTATTTATTGATATTTTGTGGAATGCAATTTCCATTAGTGTTGAGTTAGTGATTGAAATTAACAAATTAACCCTAAACATAATGAAAATAAAAAAGACAGGTAATTTAGAGAACTAAATATTTTTATACATTTAGTTACTTACATTACTTGTATATTATTACATAATCTCCATTGTAATGTTATTAGGTTTAAATTGATTTTGTGAAACTGTACAATTGAGATGGTTATTAATAAAAGTAAAAAATTAGATACATTAGTTAACAATAATTCATCTATTGGCAACTATTAATATTAATACTAGCTATTTAATTTTTAAAAATGCTCAGCTGTGTTAAAGTCTTGTAAAAAATATAGAAATGAATAATTTGTTGTTTTTTATCAAATAAATTGAATTTTCAATTTTCATTCTTTTTGTGAACAGTTCTGTAGAAAGTATTTTGAGAGAACTAATGATCTAATGATTTTTTTTGTAAAGATATATTGTTTGGAAACATTAATAGATAAACTATCTGTTTTTGTTGTTGGCTATGAACTTATCACAAAATTATTGTAAAAGTTTAATAAACATTTGATAATGTTTATATCTGCTTATTGATATTCAAATTTTATCACAAGTTTTAATATAAATTATTACATTTTATTCAAAAGTTAAGCAAATTAATAAGTTATGAAGATAATAGTATATTGTTAACTCTA